CACTGCCCCTTGTCTGTTCTATAAATTCTAACACTGAGTTTTCTATCTGTTACATGCCAAGAAATCCTCTCTAAAAATTCCGGTGGACCTCCTACGGCACCTATTAGTAGTTAAAGATTTGATTTCATTCAACAAATTAATTTATGACCTGCATGTATGTGTCGCTTAGAACACGGCCATATACCAAATGGTCAATATTAATCATCCATGTAATTTGCTCTATGGGATGTTTGCAAAATTTCAACGGAGGCAATTTCTTGGCATGTTGTAATTGTCGACCAGTTTACTTGCTTGTAACGGACACAAAGTTCTTGGAATATTTAATTAAGAGGGTTAGACCACTTTCACCGCTACAACTTCTTTTACCTTCATAATTAGGTTCACGTGTTAAGATTAATTAAAATAGCAATAAAAATTATAGTTGAAGTAAATATTTACATTTTTTTTCGATATATGATTATTCAATCGATAAATAAAATAATATTTATAATATAATCTTTCTTAATCAAATAGCTAATCATTATTAAATATTAATGCTGGAGTAATGTTATTACAAAGAAAAAAAAACTTTCCATTGAAATACATGGACCCAGTTGCGTATGATTTTGCTACAGCATATTTGTTTATGCTCGAGCGTTGACGCTGATCGATACACCAGTAAATATTTTTTAACCAATGTACTTTTGATGATAACCATATCAAGTTTATTACAATAAATACTTATTAAAAATTGTCGTCTTAATTCAACTATATTTATTGAATAGTAAAATTTAAAGCTGGATAGAATACCATTAAAAAAAAATCTCATATAATTATGATCTTGCTTCTCAATAATTTGTTGACAAATTTAACCTGACCGGACATGGCTAATAGTTCTTTCTATAATTAAAGCAAGTTTTAAGAATTTTTTTTTTATTGTCAGCAATTAAAATTTTACTCGCATTGAATATAATCATGAAATAGTTCCCTCTGTACGTTACGCAAAGACCAAACAATAAAACAAAATAGGTGATAAATTCACGATTAGATGTTAAAAGTAAGAAAAACCATGTGTGAAAGAAACTCCACAAAACACTAATAGTAGAATACTAGTACTTTGGATTGAGATACACGAAACCAACAAAAACAGGGACGAATGCATGTGCTTCGGAAGGGCTTGCAGTTCTGTTAATCTAGTTAGAATAAAATGCAACATTCATAGGCAAGTAAGTGTCATTGTACGCAGTTGTTTAAGCTTCGCTCAATCAGGCAAATATAATGGAGAAATACACATGACTTTGTGATTATAAATAATTTTGGTAAATACCTATTCTATTCGGTTCATATTTTACGATTCGTTTACAATACTGGTAAATATTACATCTATCTGTAAACATTTGTTGTTTAATTTGGCGAAGAAGTGAATCAAATTCTATGAACGCTCCTTAAAATAACATTTCATCTATAATCAATCGTTCGTATATACAAATATTGAGTTAAATTATTAAATATTCATGATAGTGTTTACATGTACCGTAGAATAAATTAACAGCAACCTCCGTTCGTTGGTTGCGATAGTCATTACTGTTAAGATTTGGTGAAAGTAACTCTTCGTTTTAAAATACCAATGAAAATGCGTTGTATAATTGAAGGTTAAGGCGTGTTTTACACTTTACATTTTGCCTAGACGAGGGACGACAGTCTAGGTGCCGTGTGCAAAACTTTTCATTCACGTGATACGATTTCAGCTCCGTATGGCAATTTTAAGTATTGCAAAAGATCGATTTGTACGGGTTTTAAAATCAAATGTACTCTACTGCATTCATGGAAAATATAGCAAGTTTTCACAGAGAAAGATTTATTGATGATCGAAAACTAATTTTACATACATTTTGCTAATCATTCTAAAATTAAGATTTAACGAGTTTCAGTTGTCTGTAATTGTATGAAAGATGATCTTGTGTCGATGTGTTTGTGCTCGATTTATATGTAGCACATGTTAACAATTTATGGAAAATAGAACGCCAGCCGATTGAGAGCGAGAGACTAAGAATTCAATGTAATCTACTCATATTGTTATTTAATCCGATCGGGAACTTTCAGTGGTATATATATACTTGTAGTATGAGTCTATTTTTGATAAATTTTTTAATGATTGATTGAATCTTGTGTTTTTATGATACTTTTTAACACCACTTTATGCTATTTCGTTGCGTTTAGTTTTTATTGTTGGCGGAAGCCAGAGATAACCACCGACTTTCGGTAATAATACTGGCAATCAATTTTTCATTTTGTAAGGATATTTCTTTGTCCGTAAATAATTTCTTCTGTTTATAATTCTAGTTGAATTTTATATCATATATTTCGAAGTTTGAAACTAGAACAACAAACTTCAGTTATTTGATCTTCAATTACAATTTTTACTTCATATGTTCTATCATATTCTTCTGTTTAGAGAACATGATCATTCTTCTGGTTCGCAAACATGATCATATTTTTCTGTTTCGTAAACATGATCATTCTTCTGTTTCGTAAACATGATCATTCTTCTGTTTCGCAAACATGATCATTCTTCTGTTTCGTAAACATGAGCATTCTTCTGTTTCGTAAACATAATCATTCTAACTTTTTTGTATTATAACACAAATTCCTTGAAAGTAGAAAAAAAACTATTTTATTATACTAGTCAACAAAAGAAACGATACAAGGCAATGTATTTTCCATACATAATGAAATTGGACACACTGTACCAAGGTAAATAATTGCCCAATTGGTCTAATATTTACAGAGTGTTAATTTTTTGTCAAAACCATTGATTTAAGGTAAATACGCGAAATCTTTTTGGGGGGATTTTTTGTTATTTCAAAAATCGTATTATCACCCAAAAATTCAAAAATCGATATAAGAACTTAAAACTTTAAACTTAAACAAGGTCTGCTTAAAATTTTGAATGCCTTCGCAGATATTTGAATACTTAATTTTCATTTTTGAAATTAAGTGCCGACCATTTTCCGCAAAATAAATTTGACCCCTGTGTTCACGGTATTTTTTCACTTTCGAATTTGGTCAGATCCTTTTAATCATATACATTTGCTTTGCAAATGAATATTTTTCAGTCGATAATTTCACAGTTTTTTCCAATTTATCATATTTTATGATAAATTAGAGTTCAAACTTGTGTATCGTTTCTTTTGTTGACTAGTATATAAATGCTTATAAAATATATTTTACTAGAATCTCTGTCAAGATGACTGATTCTATGATGATTGATCTGAAATTAATTGATGTACTGAAAAGCTAGAAGTCAAACCTGACCCGTACATTCCTTTTTTTTCGATACCACCTAAATATGCTACATTTATGATGTTTTCAAAATTAGATAGATTACTTACTTAATATTCTTGGGATATATTGTTTCCCGTTGATTTTGTAGGTAGAGGTTAATCAGGAATTTAAATGTTCAACGAAGTATACATTTTATATACTTGTATGCAGACTTTGACAAAACCACGAAATCAAATATTCGCGAAAATAATTGTTCATCAATCCACGAAAATTTATATCCAGGAACATAAATGAATCAGAACATTAGTGCAAATTATTGATATTTCTATAAGTATTGTACATATATACTGAAAATAAGGAGATGTGGTATGGTAGTAATGAGACAACTATACACCAAAGATCAAATAAAGTGGATGTAAGCATGCACGTTCAATACGTCGAAATAGAGCTCATCAATATTTGGAACACAAAAAATATTTTTTTCAAGATCAACGTTTATAATTCTTAAATGTCCAGAAGTAAAGAGTTTTATGTTACCTGCTGTATCTGCATACTGCATTTTTGTAATCAGATATAAATGCTATATTGAAACCGAAATCACATACCCTGTCCTCCGTATGCCATACATTGTATGAAAGCCTTTTTTTCACACCCTGTAATCCCTCGCTTTTTTATGATACATATAGAATCATCGTGCATGCTTTAAAACTGCCAGAGAGAAAAAGAAATGTCGTTTGCATGCGGTATAGTATCTATTTACCAAACATGTTTGATATCGTTAAAAGTTGACATGACAAGCCATTGAACTCGCATGTATATATCTAGTGTAATTGATATGATCTGTTTCTATCATTTGGCAATTGTTATCCATTTCGCACTTTGTTATTGCTGTTTTTACTATTAATTGTTTTACATTTTTCATGTCGGGGCCTTTTATAGCTGACTTAACGTTAAGGGTTTTCTCGTTGTTGGCGGCCGTACGGTTCCCTATAATTGCTTACATCCACTTCATTAGAACTCTGGTTGATAGTTGTCTCATTGGCAATCCGGCATTCCGCATCTTCTTATTTTTTTTATATTATAGGACTAGTTCTTCAATCAAAAGTTCGAGATATTTAATCTTGTGGATATTCATCATGACGTTCACAACTGGGGCCAAACAATTCTTGCAATAATAAGGAAATATATGTATAATTTATACTTTTAAGAAAATCACTGTTTGAAGACAAATATGAATTTCTGCACGAAAAAAAATCCATAAAGCTATATCAAAATTACACTTATCACATGTATCAGAAGTCCATTTCTAGTCCAGTAATGGACTTCTACATGTATCAATAATGATTTCTGAGATCTCAGTAATGACATTTTAAAAAAATGAATTCTTGATAACCATAAAAACTGTACACATTTATGAGTTTAACATTAAAAAAATCACCAATATCGGACCTCAAATTTCTGTTTGGCAATACTTGAAAAAAAGTATTTAAAAAATTTTATATAAAATAATATATAGGACTGTATATTAGAAAAGATTCCGCTAGTTTCTCCGTCTTCACGCGTGTATCAATATCTGATAAGATTTAGGATTCGCCTTAACTTATTAATGCAATCAATTGAACCAGGGACGATAGAAAGTCCCTGATTGAACATGCAATTAATCAACCGTATGCAATTCAACTTGATTTGTATTGTGTTATTGTATTGCAGGCGTGCCATAGGTATATTTTATTGGTTTATCTCCCTTTTACAATGTTATTTCCAGTCAAGATTGCCTTTTTTGACGGAGACAAAGCAAGGAAGTAAACAGTTGCAAGTTGGAAGACAATGATAAGGTATGTATTACATTTGGTGTCTTTTGTTTACGAACTGAAATAGAAATACTATAATATTTAATGTGCATTACGTAAAATAAACAACAACAAAATCAGTATTGGACAGTAAACAAAATGATCAAACCCACTAAACTAACTAGCGACAAGAAAACACATTAAGTGTCATGTAATCTATTTATTAATTTAAAAAAAAATAAATACAGATATAATCATGTATTGACAGTGGTATTTTGTAATGTACACATGTTAAATTGATTTTCAAATTGTCCTTCAAGTCACTATCAGAGGGGGTGAGCAAGGGGTCCCAGATTCTCAACGGTATCGGGTCCGTTCGCCCTAATTACATGTTCGCCCTGGGTCCGTTCGCCCTGAGTCCGTTCGCCCACAGAGTCCGTTCGCCCTAATTTTTATATAAAAGAAATAATATTAATGGTTTAATTTAAAGTTTTGTAATCTTATTCAGATATTTAAATGGTAAATATTATAAATGTATATCTCCAAATTCATGAATAAACATTGAAATTAAAAAAAAAGGTTTTTGTTTTGGAGCATTAATTAGGCTAATTGGCTTCATTGTTTTTGATGGATTAATAATGAAATTGTTTTTTTAAATAAACAAGTCTATCTATCTATCTATCTTCATATTTCCGCACTCAGTCACAACTTTGACTATTACGTGCCGTTGCATGGCTTATTTACAATTTAAAAGAAATAAATTTTCAGTAATTTTACGTTACATTGCATTGGTGCATAGAAAATGAAGTAAAAATATAACAGTGATTTAATAAATTTTTTTGTGGATTGTTATCCTATGTATATTTCATGGTAAAACTATGTACATGTTATGCAGTTTTTAGAATATTTGTGAAAGAGCAGATATAGAAATCTGCTCTTTGAAGCCTTCGACTGTTGTACAAAGGATTGCTGGTGTAGGAAGTAGGTTCCATTGTACTATTGTATGTGGATAAAATGAGAACTTGTAAGAATCTTTATTTGTTTGAATTTGTTTAAAGTGGTTGGTATGTTTATATCTTGTTCTACTGTCTGATTTAACGAGAAGATCTTTAGGGTAGATTGCTATGTGTTGATGTATGATCTTATAGAATACCACTAGTCTTGTTTGTATACGTCTCAATTCTAATGTAGGCCACTGTAAGTGATCAAGCTTGAGACTGAGCTGGTATTGTGATATCTATTACATGTATAGCGAGCAGCTCTTCGTTGGACCATCTCAATTTGATTGATTTGGTTTTTGTTGTGAGGGTCCCAGACGCAAGAGCTGTACTCAAGCTTAGGTCTTACTAATGACATGTATGCCCTTTCTTTAATTTGTTTGGATGAAACTTTAAGGTTACGTTTTAGGAAATTAAGTTGTCGATTTGCATTAGCTGTTATATTATTTATGTGTTTATTCCATTTGAGATCAGATTGGATGGTTATGCCTAAATATTTTGTAGCTGTTTCAGTTTGGAGAATGTGACCATGAAGGATGTAGTCATGGTTGACTGGTTTCTTTTTTTGTGTAATTCTAAGTATGGAGCATTTGTCTGGGTGAAATGACATTAACCAGTCTTTTTCCCATTGTGCCGCTGAATTTAAATCCTGTTGTAGTTTGGATGCATCATCTATGTTTTTGATGTTTCTATAGATGATGCTGTCATCGGCAAATAACCTTAAGGTGCTGTGTTGTCAATATTCTGGGAAATCATTTATGTAAATGAGGAATAAGATTGGGCCAAGGACAGTGCCCTGTGGCACTCCAGATGTTACCCCAAATTTTTCTGATTGTTCTCCATCTACATTGTAGCATGACTGTCTGTGTACGATGGTGTAAAAAATCACCAATCCATTCCAAGGTATTATTTTCTATGCCGTAGTATTTTAATTTGTACAGTAACCTTTTGTGAGGGACTTTGTCAAAAGCTTTGGCAAAGTCCATCACAACGACATCAGTTTGTATGTTGTTATTGTTGTCTCTTGCAAGGTCCTGTATGAAAGATAGTAATTGTGTCTCACAAGAGCGTTTTGATCGGAAACCATGTTGTAAATCATATAAAATATTGTTTTTTTCGAGATGTTCCATTATTTGACTAGCTATGATATGCTCCATAATTTTGCAAAGTATACATGTTAGTGAAATTGGCCTGTAATTTATGGCATTGTTTTTGTCGCCTTTTTTGAATGCAGGACAGACATTTGCATGTTTCCAGTCTGTAGGTATTTTATGAGTGTTAATTGACTTTTGGAAGATGAGTGTGATGATAGGACTGAGATGATCTTTCATTTCCTTTAATACCTTTCCACATAGTTCATCAGGGCCTGTGGCTTTATTTGGATTGATGTTATGAAGTAGTTTGTTGACGCCCTTTTCTGATATTTTAATTTCATTCATTTGTGGATGTGATGATAAGTTTTTTACTGGTATTGGATCTGCAGATGATTCAGTAGTGAATGCTTTTTGAAATTGCTCGTTGAGGATGTTCGCCTTATCTTTGGTGTTTGTTATGAGCAATCCATCCTTTTTTAGGGCAGCTACACCTGAATTATCATTTCTCATGCTCTTGATATATGAGAACAGGTTTTTAGGTGTGTGCTTTTTGTTGGTGCTTCCAGGTTCTTCAATTGGAAGGTCTAGGATCATGTTTTCAGTATAATGCCAATAAGCTGAGCGCATGTCTGCCTGCAATGTTTTTTTCATATGTTTGTATTTAATTTGCAGATGATGATTTTTCTTAGATTTTTTATGCAGACGTTTTGTTTTGTTAATCTTAATTCTTAGTTGGTCTGTGATCCAAGGCAATTTCATTTTGTGTGTTATTTGTTTTTGTGGTATGTTAGTACTGATGGTCTTTATAAGATCTTCTTTGAATGTTAGCCAAAGTTCATTTGTGTTACTTTTATTATATATAGTTTTTATCTTTTCTTCTAGTACTTGTATGTCTGATTTAATGTTTTCCCAGTTTGCTTTTTTGAATTGACAAATTTGTCTTGCTGGTTTTTTGTTCCTTTTCAGTGATATTTTACATTCAGTGAATACGATGTCATGATCTGCATTCCCAATAGGTGGCATTAATTCCAGTTTATTTTTTATGTTTGGTGCATTTGTTAAGATTAGATCAAGTATTCTTTCACCTCTTGTTGGTTTGTCTACTTGTCAGCTTGGAATGAGTTAAAACAATGATGTAAGGATTATAAGACATTAAAGGGAAATGGTTTTTGCCGCTTGGCTTCTTTGATCTCAAGGTGTTGAGTGAGTTGGATCTTGTTATACCTGTTTGGATTGTTTTGAAATTGTTACAAGGTTTCAAAAAAGATAAATTCATACAGATAACTTGGTCTCCAGTTCCTGAACACTCATTTTTCTTCTTCTTCAAAAATTAATTTTTGAAATTGGAGTTATCTTCCTTTGTCCATGATTATAGTTGAATCAACTACAATCAATGCTTTATACAATGCAATGTTTAATTTTGACTTCCACTGATAAAACACAGATCAAGTTGAATTTTGGTAGTGTCACTTTAACCATTATTGAGTTGTGCCCCTTTATAAATCGAATGATTGCAAATTTTTAGTTTCCATTCTACAACTTAAGTTTGCTCCAACCAAACATTATGAAACCTATACACAATATTCATTACCACAAAACTAAGATCAAGTACACATTTTTTGTTTCCGTTTTCAAACTTTAGTTTGCCTCAACCAAATGTTATGAAACTTATACACAATGCTTACTACTACATAATACAGATTAAGTACGAAATTTGTTGGCGACACTTTTACCATTCTTGAGTTATTTCCCACTATAAACAAAAAAAATTGCTGAATTTTTCGTTTCCGTTCTCTAACTTTAGTTTGTCACAACCAAATGTTATGAGACTTACACACAATGCTTATTACCACAAAACTCAGATCAAGTTCAAATTTGGGTAGCGTCACTTGACCGTTCTTCAGTTATGTCCCTTTATAACTATATGATATGCAAGTGGGGGCATCATCTGTGTCCACATGTGGACACTATCCACATTTATTTGTGTTTGATTTTAATACATTGTTAAACAGTACAAAAATGGGATATTAATTATTGCTATTCTAGGAAAATTTGCATACTGATGATGTATCAGATACCAAATGCAAGTTCCTGTTTTTGTGATACTCGCACAGTCACATTATTTGAGGGTTGTAAAATGGGTACCTTCATGACGAATATATGTCAAAAAATTCTTGCCAAATGACATTAATGGTAATTTTTGGTGCATGACAATAAAATGTACACTTTCTTTAGACGATAAAAAATTGACTGATTTTGACGAATCATGTTAAATTTTTTCCAAAAATAACGGTAACGATAATTATTTGAGACCTCTAACTAATCACGATAAGGATATTTTGATGAATCACGGTAAAATTTTAACCAATTTGATGCTAACGGTTGCCGAAAATGACCGTTTGGCGCCTGACGGTAAAGGGCATTCCTACCCTCTTATTTGCATTAATAAAAACCTTGCAATAATTTCTGTATTTAGGCCAAACATAATTTTAAGTATATGTGTTTGTGACTGTTACATGCTGAAAAACAATAGGGTAGGTAGGTACTGGTAGGGAATTTTTTTTATTTGTAATATTTTTTTACATTGAGTCTATGGGAGCAACATTGTGACTTTAACAGTGCTTAATCAAAAATGGTCAAAAAAACTTTAGGTTAGGGGATATGAATTAGGGTAGATAGGAGGGTAGGAATGCCCTTTACCGTCAGGCGTCAAACAGTCATTTTTCGGCTACTAAAGCGTCAAATTGGTTAACATTTTACCGTGATTCATCAAAATAACCTTATCAGGATTTGTCAGAGGTCTTAAATAATTATTGTTACTGTTAATTTTGAAAAAAAATTAATGTGATTCGTTAAAATCAGTCGGTTTTTTTATCGTCTAAAAGAAAGTGTACATTTTATCGTCATGCACCAAAAATTACCGTTAACGTCATTTGACAAGAATTTTTACCGTTATTCGTCATGAAGGTACCCCCATTACGACTATCAGATAGAGGTACAGTAAACACACATACTTTTTTGTTTCGCCTAATACAGTATGCTTATTTAGTACTAATAAAGCTTCGGTTTCTTTTTGTTTTGTTTTGTTGTGTTTTGTTTTATTTTATTTATCATAGAAATAAGAAGATGTTTATTGTAGAGCAAATTATACTATGTTTTTATGGTGGACAATGCCATATAAAAGAATGCATGAATTTGTCAAGTTATTTTATCTTTATTCTTTAATGGTTAACTTTAATTAATCAATTGTTTTTCATTGACTATTTCTATAAATTTATTTGTTCTACTAGCATCCAAATGTCATGAATGTGTTTTTTGTTTTTGGTTGAGAACAGGAAGTAAAGTGAAAAAGTCAGTAAAACTAATTTTACACGTACAAATGTTTAGGAAAGTTGTTTGGTTGTATGAATGAAGACGCATGCATTTCATTGATAAATTCACATGGCTGAACTTGAGCATATGAGGTTGCTGCACTAGTACTGATACATGATGTCCATAATGTCATTGCCTAATATTTTAGAGTAACAAGTCCTGCCTATGGTCTTAACAATATAATTAAGCCAGTAAGGAAACATGTACAAATTGCTGATAAAATCATATATTATTAGTAATCCCAAAATATGAACAGTTGCGGTTAATTATACAATACAAAATGTTACACAAATGATTACGATGCTATAACTAGTATCAGAAGTCCTCTAGTAATGGACTTCTGCTAGTATTCACATTTAAAACCAACTGAATGTCATGGATTTTAAGAACAATAAAGTACACAAATAAAAAAGACAACACTGATGGGACATTAAGCATGTTAAAAAGTGAAATAACAAAAATAACAAAATCTGAAGAAAATGAAAAGTATATAATCAAATGGCAAAATCAAAAGCTCAAACACATCAAACAAATGGATAACAACTGTCATATCCCTGACTTGGTACACACAGTATCTTATTTAGATAATGGTGGATTAAACCTGGTTTTATAGCTAGCTAAACCTCTCACTTGTATGACAGTCGCATGAAATTCCATAAAATCGACAACAATGTATGAACAAAACAAACAGACATAATACGAGTAGGTAAAAATGTCAAAAATAGGGGTAAAACCAGTGAAAGTACTCCAATGCATTAAGCATGTTGAGAGAATAACCTTAAAATACAAAAAAACTTTATTTTTCATCAATATAAAGGAAATTGACATAAACATGATATAGAAATTGCAATCAAGTTTATCAACTGTTTACATAATAATCTTCTTTTTATCAGACTACAGTCCAGTTGCCAAAAGCAAAGGGCACACAAGAAAGTACACTAAGAAATTAAATGTCGAACAATGAAAATACAGCAAGCTCCATAAATGACCACCTTAATGAGACTAAAGGTCAGTTAATGCGGGAACACGTCTCCTTTGATGAGACTAAAGATCATTTAATGGAGGAACACATCTCCCTTGATGAGACTAAAGGTCATTTAATGGAGGAACACATCTCCTTTGATGAGACTAAAGGTCATTTAATGCAGGAACACACATCTCTTGATGACACTAAAAGTTATTTAATGGAGGAACACATCTCCTTTGATGAGACTAAAGGTCATTTAATGGAGGAACACATCTCCTTTGATGAGACCAAAGGTTATTTAATGGAGGAACACATCTCCCTTGATGAGACTAAAGGTCAGTTAATGCAGGAACATATCATATCTCATGATGGAGAACATATGTTTATAAAGTTAGAGGCACATATGACAGCACAAATGGAAGAAAAGCCTTTTAAATGTGGTATATGTGGTAAAGGGTTTAGTAAGAAAGAAGTGTTACAGACCCACATAAGAATACACACTGGTGAAAAACCTTATAAATGTGAGGTATGTGGTTTAGAGTTTAGTGACAACGGTCCTTATTATAGACACAAGAGAACACATACTGGAGAAAAGCTTTTGAAATGTGATACATGTCATAGAGAATTTAGTGGGGAGCAAAGATTACAGGCACACATCAGAAAACATACTGGAAATCCATGTAAACCATATAAATGTGATATGTGTGGAAGAGAGTTTGGTATGAATAACCAATTCCAGACACACATGAGAACACATACAGGTGATAAACCTTTTAAATGTAGTGAATGTGGTAAAGGGTTTAGTCGGAAACATCATATGCGGGAACACATGAGAACACATACTGGTGATAAACCTAATGAATGTGAGATATGTGGGAAAGCTTTTAGCCATGGTGGCACCTTACATAGACACATAAGAATACATTTTGGTGATAAACCTTATAAATGTGATGTGTGCGGTAAAGATTTTAAAGAAAAAATAGTTTTAAAGCACCATATGAGAACACATACTGGAGAAAAACCTTATAAATGTAAAATATGTGGTAAAGAGTTTAGTTTGAATTGGAACTTAAAGGACCATATGAGAACACATGCAGGAGATAAACATAAGTAATGTGATATATGTTGTAGAGGATTTAATTTGAAACGGACATTAAAGAAGCACATGAAAACACAGAAAAGGGATAAAGCTTATAAATGTGATGTTTGTGAATGTTGCATACTTTTGATATTTGTGTTCAATGTTTACTTTATTTTATTCATGCGTCTCTGATGAGTCTTGCTGGCATATAACATAAAAAAAGTCTGGTATCAAAGATGAGTTTATTTACTTATTAACATAAAGCAGGTGCCCTCTATGATGCCTCATATACTTTTGTCATTAGTATGTTGTAATGTTTAAAGTGATCACATGTACAGTGCCTATTACAAACACATGAGAACATATAATCATAATAATATACTGTACAGAAACCATAAAATTGTGTATATTGTAATGGTTAAAGTGATCACAGTGCCTATTACTTACACACTAGAACACACATATACTGTACATAAACCATATAAATATATATGTAATGAATGAGGTAAAGGGTTTTAGTCTCCTTGATGCTTTATTTGAACATAGAACATGTAGAAGAATACTGCATCCTGGTGATAACTTAGGGAGCAACCATCCAACTTCAAGGAGAGGTTATGATTTTTTGTCCGAGTTAGAATATTTTTTTCACGCTTTTTTTTTGTTTTTTTTTATATTTTGTTCAAAATTTAACACTATAAAGTATGGGGAAAATCTGGATTCAGAATATTTTTTTTGTCATCTGCTGGACCACAATATTTGTTTTCATCAAATTGGGGATCAGAATATTTATTTAGGGAAAAACCAAACCCCCCCCCCCCCCCTTTGATGTTAAATGGTCGTTCCCTTATGATAGTTGACTACATACACGTGTCTTGTATAATATAACACCATATTAACAAAGGTATAGTGAAACTCAAACGTCTAAAACGAACATGGCATGGCAAAAAAAAAAAACCCGAACAAAAGTGAAACAACCGTCTATAAAATAAAATATAAAAAAATTACGACTGAGCAACACGAACCCAAACAAAACCACAGGGTAATGTTAGATGTTCCAGAATGTGATATATGTAGAAAAGAGTTGCGTCACTTCAAAAACATTGAATTTCGTCCTAGTAATGGGGATCCAGGAATTTTAAGAAAGGGGGCCGGACAAGCCAAAGTTCGGAGTGAGTAAAAAGTCTATGCATTTATCATATAGCTCCATAAGGGGACCGGGTCACCTGTCCCAGCCCTATATCCTGCTTTTGAGTGATAATTCTGATAAAGAAGGTGGAGTTATACTATACTTTTTTGTCCTCTTTAAATTTTAGATAAAAACGTATTGTATAAATTGTATAAATTTACAGAATAACATTCATTGGATGTGCATAAGAAATAACTCTGTCGGACATCAGTTTTAATGTTTTGAAATTTTTCTTAATATGAGCAACAGCTTTGCCAAAATAAATGCTACAAAATGTATTTTGTGAACAAAGGCTAAAGTAACCATGGGGACGTTCAAATTCTTAAGTCGCAAAATAAACTGAGAGGAAGCGAGAAGTGGTGAATAGAGAAGAGCAGTAGATAAGAAAAGAGAAAACAGAACGAAAAGAGATAGCAACAAGTCCCGTCCTCTTTTCCTCGCATGTGACCTACCGAACTAGACTTATCAAAAGGTTTGTACTTACTTGAGCAACACAACGGGTGCCACATAGGATCAAGATACCCTAGGTTCCAGAGCACATTAAATCACCCTTAGTTTTGTTTAAAAGGGTTCGTGTTACTTTTGCTTTAGTTTTAAGTGTTGTTCTTAGTGCTTTTCAATTTTTAGGGCACCGATAACATAAAGTGCATAAAAATAGATATTTCTCCTGGGCCATGTGGGCATCATTATGTAAAGACATCCCTTGTACATCAATAACACAGATATGTAGTATACTGAGAAACGAATACTCTTTGGCAGATGTATATACAGACAAGATGGTAATTGATTCCAATTTCGTATCATTTTATACAGACATTATGTAAATTGTCATACCTCTTGGGGCATCCTTCTTTACCGACATTCCCATGGACATCATTATATACAGAAGAAAGGGAGACAAGAGATACCAAAGTAGCATTCAAACAAACCAATAATTCCATGGCACAAAAAAAAAACAACGAAAAAAGACAAAAAAGACAACAGTACCCAAAAGACATAATACAAAATAAACTGAACAAGACGAATCCCACCAGAAACGATGTTCCGGAAAGATAAGCAGACCTGATCCGTATGCGACACCCATCGTTTTACGCCTATAGAAAATACGTTGATAAACAATATCAAGTGATTAGGCATCCCGCAATAGCTGATTGGTAAATTAGACTCTTACTCTTAGACATCACCAAATTCGTAAACCATCGATGATGTAAATATTCTAAATCCTGAACTTTAAACGAGTGTGAATTTTGGAAAATTGAAACATTTCCCCCCTCCCCTAAATCTGGGACAGTGGTGTAACAGTACAACATAAGAACAAACTATAAAAACCAGTTGAAAAAGGCTTAACTTATCAGATGGACACAAATAGAAATACATCTAACAAAACACATGCAAAGTAGACATGGACGGGTACTTATACATCCCTATAACCCAAGTACAGATCTGAGAGTACTCGCAGTTACTGACAGCTAGTTCAAAGCCAATAATAACTAATAAAAAAAATCATGTATCAAAGATTAAAATATCAATTAGTACACATCCAACATCCAATGGATTTAGAATAAAGACGTCACAAACAGTCAGAGAAAAACATGACCTTTTGCAATGCCAAGATTTAGGTATCGACAGATTTTAGAGCCATGGATGTGCATACTGGTTTACTTTTATAAATTTTGACTTGGATGGAGAGTTGTCTCATTGGCACTCATATCACATCTTCTTATATCTATATATATATGTATATAAAAATAATATTTAGTTTGATTTTAATTTACTGACAAAATCAATATAAATACCAATAAAACAATATTCAAAGATCTAATTAAAGTGTTGAATTGGTAACCTTTTAGAATAAGTTTAGTTCAAGGATCGATAAGTTAAACATCTCCGTCAAATGAGGATGTGGTATCCCGTTTGAAATAATTTTTCTACAGGTACAGCCAAACTACAAAACCAAATCGTTATACATATGGAAGTATCTAGATAAGGTTTTAAATGTAATTTGTGGTAACGAAATCCCTGACTTAATAATTTACCAGTAATACAAAAATTAAGTTCATTGAAATCTAAAACGTCACAACAAACACGCGCATAACGAACAAGTTGTGATATATAAACACCGTCAGATGGTGCCAAAGGAGCATCACCGTCCAAAAAAGGAAAATTTACAATAGGCAAAAAAATGATAGGGAACGAAAAAAAGTCCCTTTTGTCTAAAATTTTAGTGTAGTGTGTCCCGTGTAAAACTGAAATATTTAAATCTAGACATACATAAACGTCATTATTATGACAATAAAGTATTACGAGGGTGTGGAAGGGGGTTTACAGAATGGAGAATAATGGACAAAAAAATTGAAGAATAGAGAAAAATGGACCCCCCAAAAAACAGAAACGAAGGACTCCCATGATATGCATCCAGACCCTCATTTATGTGATATGTGATATTAACATGATTAAATAAGATTTGAAGGAACAACCATTTAACCTTGATTGAGGGATATGGTTTTTTTCCAATCTGTTTATTATCATGCAGCATCACATTTATTTTTTTCCTGGGCACCTTTTTTTTTAAAAGTAGTTAACATTAGATTGAATGGAAAAAACTCGCAATCAGAAAACCCCCTTCCCCCTTATCAAAACATTTTGTTCTTCGAAGTTGGAAATCAGATTTTTTTAAGAAGTAAAAATACCCCTCCCTCTTTTTTCAGATTTAAATTTATCTTTGTATTTATATGACTATATTAAAAGTTATCATTATTGTATAAGTGGCATATGCACTATTGTCTTTTACAAACGTTTCATAAAACGAATGATCAATTATTAGAAACTATAATTCATAAAACCAATGATACAAACAATCAAAAGACATCTAGAGGGCAACATGCAGTCCATGTGCCTAACCAAGACATTTTTTCTCCCTCAAAAATTGTCCTGAACTCTATATATAAAAATAAGAGACCTGGTATGATTCCCAATGAGACAACTCTCCACCAGAGACTAAATGACATAGCAGTTAAAGACAATAGGCCACCGTATAGCCTTCAACCATGAGCAAAACCAATACCTCATAGTCTGCAATATATCTATTGACATCTTTTCTCCAATTTCCGTTGCTGATAACGTCACGACTTTCGTGTTAAATCTCATATATCGATAAAATAGACAAATCAAGGTAGCAAACAAAAACAAGAAAGTCACATGAACTCCAAATGGAGCTGACATCATTTTCATGGTTCATTGGTAAATGTTTAGTTTTGATGGATTGGTCTCTTTATAAGACACCAAGAGCAATATGCCAATTATATTTGATGTATGGATGATTGTTAGGTGTGCATGATAGTCTGGTAGACTTAATCTGACCTTGACCTGATTTTGAAGGTATATTGGTCAACTGTAAGTTTTCATGGTCTAAGCTATAAGCAATATGTCATCTATATGTTATACATATATTGATTGTGATCATGTATACATGTCTGTCTGATGGGGTTCATTTGACGTTCACCTCATTTTCATGGTTCATTGGTCAATGTTTTCTTATCATGGTTAAGTCAGTTTCTCAAATGCTATAAGTAATATGTCCGCTATACCTGGCTTGACGCATGAATATAAGATATGCATGTCCGTCTGGCAGGTTTCATCTGGCCTTGACCTCATTTACAGGCACGGATCATTGTTAATGTTAAGTTTATATGATTCTTGTTTTAAAGACTCAATATAACGCCAATCACGAAAAGTAAGGGAGCAACCATTTAACTTCAAGGGTGTTATGGTTTTTTTTGTCTGAGTCAGATTTTTTTTTATGCATAGCGCGAAAATTCTTTTTAGTTTTTCGACGCTATCAATAAAATTATTTTTTTCAAAATTTAACACTATAAGGTATGGGGAAATCTGGATTCAGAATATTTTTTTTGTCATCTGCTTGACCACAATATATTTTTTCATCAAATTGTGCTGTAACACCACTGTCCCAAGTTAAGGGAGGGTTGAGCGCTCACAAACATATTTATACCCCGCCACATTCTGTATGTGTGTCTGTGCTAAGTCAGAAGCATGTGCTTTAGAGGTTGTCGTTTGTTCAGTTATAAACTAGACTCATTGTTGAAGGCCGTATGGTAGCATATAATTGCTTACATCCACATCAAATGAACTTTGATGGATATTTGTTCAACTGGCTATCATACCATGCACAACTCCATTTTTTTTTACATAAGACAAGTGCAGAAAAGAGACACTTTATTCAGAAGCAAAATTATAGATCATGTACAACTTGTACGTCTATTGGCTACACATGGTACAGAATGATAAACTAGTACATATCGGTATCATTTAAAATGGCGTCTTTAGAGTCGAATCGGATTATAAACTTAATCCTGAAAATAAATTAAAAAAAACAAATAGTATTGTAACACAGAAATAACACAAACCTAACATGAGATGACTATAACACAAGTAATCTCAGACCTATCGCGAGGTTCAATTTCTGCGTTTTTTTCTTTGTTTTTTTTCAATTACAATATTGCACAGCATAGTGAGAATACACTAACTCTTAGAATACATATGTTTCACAAATTAAAATTGTCTTAGCATGTGCAAACGAAAAGATGATAATAATTAAAGTGCAATCAAACGCATATAGAAAAGTCCTTTTTTAAACGAAACGGCCACAAAATGTTGAAATTGAGAAATACGAAATGCCACTGTAAATATTGGTGAGCTCATATGCTCTAAAAGGTTAAAGCAGTTATTGTCGATTCAAAGTGTTTTAAAAAGTTTATGAGCTGTAAGATATCTGGTGTCGAAATTATTCATGTACATGTATTGTGAAAATGGATCTGAATATATTAGGCCGCAAAACAAGAAAGTTCAAATAATAACATAAGGGTCTGGATAGGGTTTACAGAATAGAAAATAATGGGGAGAAAAAATAATGAATAGAAAAAAATTACTAAAAATATAACATGTATAAAGAATAAAGAACAATGGGGTGCAAAAGAATAAAGAATAACTTTGGAAAATTCATGAATCATATAATTACAGAAAAATGTGATAGTATAATCATATTCATTAGAATTTTACAGAATAAGCATTTAAAAAAAAAAGAAAAATGGCCTTAAAATTTAAAGAATACAGAAATTAAGGATCACTCCATTCAGACCCTCATAATGAAGTTCAAATACATTTTTATTTAAAATAACTATTTTAAAGTATACTTCAGACGATTGGATTCCAATAACAACGGTTTTGATGGGGTTTACAAAGAGAATAATAGGCAAACAAAAATAAAGAATAGAGAATAATAATGTGATAAATTACAAAGAATAGAGAATAATGGGTAAAAAAATATGAGGAATAGAGAAAAATGACCCTTAAAATTAAAGATTACATAAATGAAGGACCTACTATCCAGACCCTCATATACCAATCTGAAGCAGAATAAGAATGATACAAATGTGTATTACCCTTTCACAGATATATCCTGCTCGATTCCAGCACTGATCGTCATTCCATCGGTAGGAAAATCCACTGTACAGATGTGCACAGTCTTCTGATCTAGAACCATCGTCGGGTTGACGTGGGTACCAGTCACTGAAGGCCAAGGACGATCGATCTGATTCCCACAGCCATCTGCCTTCTCTTGATCTATCGTTTGCGCCAATCCACATGCTCTTTAATCTTAATCCTGAATGTTAAGATTTAGGAGATTAGAGTATTGTATTTGATGTATAGTGGGCTTCAATCAACGAATTATATGGTTATCGATTGACGTTTATCAATAACATATGTCTTCGAGTATGTCTTATTCTTTACGCTAAATAAGTTAAAATATTAAATGGTATTTACTGAAAATTATAAAACATAAAAACAAAATAAATATTAATAGAAACGGAGCTAGCCGGAAGAATAGCTACTGACTAATTGGAAAGGGGTCCATTCCCAAAGCGCCTGTAACGCGTACCATATTTCCTTACTTCTATACTGTATGCAATGCTACCCGTGTTAAGGTAATATTTATCATTTTTCACGTTAAAATGCCAGATTTTGATTGGTTAATACGAGGGAGACAATTTATTCTATACCATGGCTCAGCGGGAGACCATTTTTATAATTTCACCCTCTCGTGAAGACCAATCAAAATTTACTTTAATAATTTTAATGAAAATGGTCAAGTTCTACAGCCATTAGGCAAAACATATACATCTTGCTTCACATTTGTTGTTTTTCTAAAGACGGTAAGGTTGTCATATATATATATATGACGTCATAGTTAATTATTTTCAATTTACAATTTGAAAAGACAATAATGAGAGAACATGCAGTATAATAAATCAAATAAAAAAATGCCCGGGAGATTGATAGGGCAGACTTTTGTAAAACATTGGATCGCCTCGGTTGACAATGTTTTCTCGTGCAACAATCTGCTCTATCACCCGCTCAGCTATGTATTATTTATACAATGAGTTTCATTCGTCCATTAGACATCTACCTAGTATTCGTAAGTGGGCATTGATATTTACCTCGAGACACACATTTTTTTTTTCAACTTTCAACAGGAAAAAAAAATCTGTTTGCTTATTCATAATTGAAACAAACGAATTTTCCTCAATGACCACCCCCTGAAACATATTATTAAAGAGACATTAGATAACTTGATAACGATATAGGCATTGATAGGATAGTACACAAACAAAAACCTTTCATGACTGTTTGTAGCCATCGGTTTTTCTGCCGAATCGTCAATTTTAACCAAGTAACCATCCTTTCTATTGCACACCGTCTGAAATAACATAGTTACTTTTAAGTATATTTTAAGTTATTTTTTAAAATTGGTTTTAAGTAACCATATCTTTGAAACAACAACATGTACGACATAGAGACATTACATGAGGTTAATTTTACAATGGTTTGTAAATAATTATCGAGTGTAGGACCAGATTTCTACATTTTTTATACCTCACTCACGAATACCCAAAATACCTGACGAAATCGAAACAAAAGACATGGATAAATCTAACAAAAAGTAGTAATAACATAAATGTACATGTGACTTGGATGGAGAGTTGTCCGAGGTCTCATTGGCACTCATACCACATCTTCTTATATCTATTTCTAAACAACTTTAGAAATCACATAAACACAATTAGACAGAATTATACAAAAATCCAAAAATAGAGTTCTAAGCATCTGAAGTAAATTAAATTTGTCTCGTGTAAGAATATATATATCAAATGGAATGGTCCGATGTAGATAGATTTTTTGTTATTGAAATAATCACATTAAAAAGAAGAAGGCAATACACTAAATTGCAACTTCTTTACAAAGCAACAATGCAACACATTAAATAAGATGTACACCATGTTTAAAAGTAGCATTGAAAATTCCTTGCTTACAAATCACAAAGTATGTGGTTGTATGTGTCCAAAGTAAGATTAAGTCTTGTCATTTGTGTTATTCGTCTTCATTTTCTTTGCAAGATATCTTATAAAGTTAAAAAGATATCTTATTAACTTCAAATTATATGAAGATATATCATAAATAGTACAATATGTCTCACTAAGAATAGAAGATATCTTATTATATTAATAAGATACTAGAACACACCCTCGAAATCGCGGGCATTTAGAGCTCGGTTGAAAGTATGAAAACTGTTGTAGGGTGAAATTTTGTAAAAGATTTTATGACTGGAGAATTTCCGGAAAGGTATCAAAAGTCAAAGGTACTTGGTGGCGGAGCAATTTATTTTAGCCCTCCCCCTTTTTTTCCAAATCCGTTATTTTTTTTATTTTCTATTAATTTTCAATATACTGTGAACACGCATATATTATAATCTCTATATAATAGAAGAAGAAGAAGATATTTTATTTTCCAATTTGGGCCCCAAAGGGCATAAACATTACAACAATAATTTTCATTACAATACAAACAATGAGATAAAAAGGGATTAATGAGAAGTATTTTTTTTTATAAATATCCAATGCATTTTAATGCAAGTGTGATTGATATAGATAACAAACAAACAGCCCAAAAAGAGAGAAAAAATAATAGATATCCATATAGTGTATAGTACACAATAGGTAGGATCAAATAAACATATAATAAGTAGACAAAAATAAAGTAAAAGTTAAGCATGTAATATATAATCGCCGTTGATGGTAAACTTGGGATTGATAGTAAGTAGCAAATACAATGTACACTTTATTTATAGTATATGTATGTTCGTGGTATACAGATAAAGCAAAAAAAAATATCTCCTGCCCCCCAAGCACCTATGAAAGAGGGTAGTAATGCCCTTTAACGTCAGGCGTCAAACAGTCATTTTGGCTACCGTTAGCGTCAAATTGGTTAAAATGTTACCGTGATTCGTCAAAATATCCTTATCATGATTGGTCAGAGGTCTCAAATAATTATCGTTACCGTCATTTCTGGAAAAAAATTAACGTGATTCGTCAAAATCAGTCGATCTAATGAAAGTGTACATTTTATTGTCATACACCAAAAATTACTGTTAACGTCATTTGGCAAGAATTTTTACCGTTATTCGTCAAGAAGGTACCCCCATTACGACCCGCATGAAAAATATATGTAATTAAAAGTCCAACTGATGACGGAAACAATATCCGGACGCCTTTATTATCGTTTTTCTCCCAAAATAACCCAAACGGAATAATCATAAGCGAGGATGACAAATGCGACTATGCATGGTTCCTATAAGACACAAAGGCATGATGATTTATTTATTGTGGAAGGAAGAGAAGCGACACACAAAATGAGGTCTTCTCGTTTAATAGTATAGATGTCATCAACGTTAATAGATACCTTGAAATTGAAAAATTATAAAAGTGGCTTTGCTTGGTCATTCTTTTGTTGAGAGATGATCTATCAGTACGATTGTATTGTCAGTCTTACTTATAGAACGAATGACTTAGAATACGATATTGTTGTGTTGATGCGTTCTATGCTTACTTTTGCGCTTGTCCATGGTATTCTATTTCCCCCGAAGTAATAACAGTGTCCTCTATAGCGCTTCCAACCACTTGGACAATCCACCTGGCAAATTCCTTGTGCAGGCTTTTCTATAAATAAAATAAGTAATCGATATGTTGTTTTACCAGTATTAAAACAACTCTTCAAATAAAAAAGCTTGACTTTATGTTACGCTTACAAAAATCAAAATATTCTGATTTGAAATTATAGCTCATTTTCGTTAACTTGAACTTATGATCAGCAGACCTAGCAGTATATATTCACTAACAAGCATCTACACGAACTGTTACACATTTACGCAATGTGAACTGACAGAAATTCTACATAGGACCAGTTGTGCTGAAAATTGGATATGTACAATGTTATCCTGTAAAAAGTTTCCGTAAAAATGACATTGAATCAAGCTAGCGGTATCTGGTGAGTTGTCGAAACAATCGCAAGACCATGTATTGTAAATGAACCATATATAATTTACAGTTATGGGTTTTTTTATTGTTAGAGAACTGTCTTCCAATAGTTTTTATTATTACATTTTTTCTATTTCTTTAAATTTAAATTTAGGTACATCCAAATCATTTGAACTTTGGTGGATAGTTATCTCATTGGCAATCATACCACATCTCCTTATTTTTACATAGTAATCTTATAGATCAAACTAATAAAATAACTGTTCAGAAAAAGCATACTTTTTAATTTATTCTCCAGAATTTGCATCTTCTCAGTCAATGCTTGCATCATCTGTTTCATGCTAGTTATTAGAGATTCATCATTCTTGTTTAGACAATGTTCTTTGTGTTGTCCATATATAGCACGAACGAATGTAAAAAGTAAACAAACAAATTGCATCTGATGCATCTTCAAATAGAATAAACAATACTATATTTGAGGGTACATATAATTATACAGATGTTTGGTAAAATATCTCAAATTCAAGTTGAAACATACAAATATGTAAATGAAAACAATCGGAATCGCTCGAGTTCGCCGTTTCCATGGTTTCCGCATATAAAGAACTCTGCGGACTCTACATAGATTGCTCTCCTTTATACTGTTTCAATAATGGATAGAAAACAAACGAAGTTCTTGATTTAACTCGTAATATCAGATTCACAATAATAGAATACAAATTTAAAGTATTTTTTTTTAGAATTGAATGGCTTCATTTTGATAATTGTATATATGGTTTGTAAATTAAGCAAATAAAACAGTTTTGAGCAGTTTTTGAAGTCACAGGTATTTTTAAATGAGTCGCAAGGTCGCCCACCAAAACCCAAAGGTCACAGCTAGGTCACATTTGACCATGTTGGAACCATATGGATATATGACCACCGAATTACAGGCTTTTTTTAGTTTAGCTTTGTATATATTGTATTTGTTGTTTGCAGAAATTGTCCAAATTTTAATATATAGTCGATATATTCCATTACGATTTATAAAAATGAAATGACAAAAGCTACAAATTAAAAAGATAAACGTAGAAATGTATACTTACCATAAAAGTTTTTACTGTGTAAAATAAAATTTGAGAAGAAAGTAAAAAATTCAAATGACCGAATTGCGTGCCGTTGTACACACAGTAGTATAATCAATGGTCTACTATTTCATCAGTCAATGTCAGATTCCTATATCTATACATGTTTAGCGATATGTATCCAATTCATTAAAATATGAAGCCATGTTTTGTGCATTTTGTAAAAAAAATGTAAGGTAACAATTTACGTGTTGAAGTCATATTTTCCCAAGCTATGTTGTTTTCGCTTTGTTAATAGTTGTATGCTTGCGGGACAAAAGACTACAGAGCCTGCCGATTTTTCAAGCCAATCTCTTAATGTAAAACAACATAAAGTGTGTTTCTGACTTTTTTTACGCCCACATAACAATCTATAACCCCGCATAAGCTACTTTCTTGTTTTGTGTATTGCTTGATGCATAGAGTACCTGCATATCCTCTTTGTCCCCAGTGCGACATAAGGCTATAAAGACTATGATTATTACTCTGACCGGGGTTGCGTTCAATAGCGTAGCTGCTACGTAGTGCTACGTAGATTTTTGTCTATTGAATGCGGAGTAGCTAGTATAGCTGCTATCAATATCTATGTAGCAGCTAGGCTAGCTACACGTTCAATGGGTCCTACTAAAAAGCGCCCGGGAGCGCCCGGGTAAAGAAAAAGCGCTCTGGGAAAAGAAAAAGCGCCCGGGGAAGAAAAAAAAAGCGCCCGGGGAAAAGAAAAGGCGCCCGGGGAAAATATATAGATATTGTATTGGCATGAGACAACTTTGTGTCGATGAAATAAGTTATTTTATTCTCCCGGGCGCTTTTTCTTTTCTCGGGCGCTCCCGGGCGCTTTTTAGTAGGACCGCGTTCAATAACCATAAATCTACGTAGCCCTATGTAGCATATCCAACTATAGCAGTCATCACGTGACATTGGCGACGTCACACATCACCCGTATCATGCCCAAGTAAAATGTATAGAAATGCACAGGGGCTTTCAGGAATCGATAAAATAAATTACTTTAAGTTCATGATAAAAAAAGTGTGGAAATATATAGTAATTCCTCATATATTTAGAAATATATTGATGCCTTTTGGAAAAGTTTAAATTTTGGTCTTCTCCCTTCCAAATGCTTTTAAAAATTTGTCTTGTTGCCTCGATAATTCACACTGTTAAATCATCCAACTCCGATAAATATTGGATTTTCTGTCGTGTTAAACCTAAAATTGCGATTTAAACAAAACAGATGGAAAAATTGTGGAAATATGTGCTTATTACTATATTCATAAATATTTGAAATATCGTACATCCAATAGTTTAATTTTTTATTACGTCCCTTCCAAATTGATTTGAAAATTAGCTATTTTCAGAAAATCTGGTATTATTTTTCAAGATGGCGACCACATTGACAGCGTGGGCCGACTTGGTAAAAATATATTTTGTAAGATTGTTACAATGAAAATCAAATAACTGTTGGATGCTCGCGTTTTCAGTCATTGTCTTACCTTAAAGCAGCATAGAATCAAACATTGGTTTCTTTTGATAAAGCTGATACATGCTGTTGTTTTTTTATAAAAATTTTAAAAAATGGCGACCAAATAATTTTCAAACGTAGACGATGTTCGACACTTATTTTGTCCATGCAAATAATTCAATTTAATTTCACTGTTTATATTGCAATTAGATATGACAATTTATTGTCACTATAATGATAGCCAAGGACATAGCTAGACTAAGGAGATATTAAGTCATAACATCAACGTAATCAAAGAAAACAAACATGGCACCTAATCACGATGTAAGTTTTGACAATACCTATGTAGATGTATGTTTTGACAATACCTATGTTGATTAGTGTTGTCAGATTCTCAATGAAATTCATTACGATATTATTTTATATTTATAAAAGAAGACCTCGAATGGATATTAACCGAGGTGAAATAACTATATTTTTCAATTTTCTTTAAACCATTCATCGGGTAACTAGTAAATTTTATATAATCCTAATTAAACCAGTAACATGCAGAGTTATCGAACGTAATTATGACTGGAATAGTTGCATATGCCGCTACGATATTGAACGCAACCGGTTATTCAACCCAGTCATTGGAAGATGAATGTTGTGTATAGAATAAGATTGGTGGATAGATGGGTGGTTAACATCCAGAGGCAAAAATTACATGAATATAAGGAATTTATATATACATCAGTGTATTATAACTATTAACCCTGCTTTTTACTAGATGGGTTGAGCTGGAATTTTTAAGTGCTAGTTTGTAAGGAAACAGTTCATAAGAAGACATGTCACCCTTACCAGACACATTATTCTGATTTTGAACCAACCATTCTTTACTCTTAATTCTAAATGCTGTATACTTAGCAGAGAAGTAGCAAATATGTAATCAATTTTTAAAGTCTTTGATTTGACCCAGCTGAGACCATAAACATTGATGGGCAAAAGCATTGTTTTCACTAAAGCAAAACCATGAGTCATGGACTCTTGAAAATCTGTCTCGATTTTGAGAACTGGTGAGTCCAAAGATGCATCAAGATTGTATAATGTTGTATCAACTGATCACATATATCTTCATTTTATAACGAATGTTAAAAAAAATAATCTAAATTTGATGTCATTTCCATGTGCTATTTTTTCTTGGAGACTGAAATAATAAATTATATAGCAATAAAATTTAATCTTCTCACTGTTGGACTCGCCATGGCCAAAATAATGAGTCCCTGGACTCACTTTCAAAAATTCTTAACAAGAACCTTGCTGAAAAGCATTGTCCCTTTTATCTCGCTCCTCTCCTATGTACAACTATAACTCATACCAGGGTCCTCGGCCATAAAATTTTGCTAAGTGCTCAAATAAAACAATTGTGCTCGAAACACCAAATACAATAATTTGATGGACAGATTTTTTTATTTTGAGCACAATAATCGTGCTCAAAATTTTTATGGCTGCAAGGCCATGTCTCTCGGTCATAAAACTTTACTCAATACTCGAAGTTCAAAATTTGTGCCCAAAACATAAAATCCAGTATTTTGATTGGTTTAACTCTGAGTCTGTGATAATCATACTCAAAAGTTTTATGATCATAAGCACATGTGTCACTGTCTTAGGACTGATAACTAAAACATATTTGTTTGATTTTTTTTTATTTGGAAAGATGGCATGTACATTATATGTAAACATCCCTTCATCAAAATGTTCAATAACAAATGCATAAGAAAACAAAACAAGTGTAAAGTTCACAAAAAGTGAAATTTAAATACATGTATAAAATATAGAAATATCAAAACAACACAGAAAGAGTACACCCACAAAACAAAAAAAATACACATTGTAATTCTATGAATAGAATAAAATACACACTGTAATTCCATGAATAGCTATAGAATAAAATACACATTGTAATTCCATGAATAGAATAAAATACACATTTTAATTCCATGAATAAGAAATACCAGGTATAAAACAACAGATTTTGTACATTCATGAATTATGACAACTTATGAAAATTAGGGACTTTTTTGGAAATGCAAAACTTATCTAAGTAAATTAAGACCTATTGTTTGACAACTACCAATCGTGAAGTAACTACTATGAGGGGGATGAAACCCTTTTGGGATGTGGGATATAGGGAGTAAAAAAGTGGGGAAGTGGGTTAAAGGGGGTAAAAAAGTGGACAATGAAAATTTGAAGGGGTAAAAAAAGTGGAATCTTGGACAAAAAAGGAAAATGACCTGTCACCCCCTCTACTATGTTTTTGCTTATGTTACAAATACAACTGGATGTACATCACTAGAATTGTAACTTGTATTTCAGAATTGCTAAAAATAATTTACTACATGTACAGAAATTGCAATTAAACATTAAAATACACAATTAAAATCATAAGTTTACAGTGTTTATTCAGTGAATATCAAGTCTACAAACTATAGGCTGTTCCATTTAAAAATACATACTACCAAGGGAAGGCACTTTCAAAATGTTGTAACCACCTATAGAGGTAAATAAAATCATTATACCTAACTACAGGCAGGAAACAAGAATATATTTTTTTTCTGGTTTGATAAAGGAGTAGGTCCAGTAAGACCCCTTTTTGGCCCCAAAATATAGCAGTTTTACAAAATTGTTACAATGTAAACTTTTAGCTATTAATTGGAAAGTATAATACTACTGCTACATAAAAATGGGCTGTTTTTGACAATACAATGGACATATATCGGGTACTAGCATCATTAAGTCATGCTAAATTACTGAAATCTTCACAATTTTAGAATTTGAGTTAAACTTTAGATGGTTTCCGTCTTAAATGAAAGTGGCCGCATTTGTGTTCATTCTTAATATTTAAATGTAAGTTGTATTTGATGATAATACATAACATATATAAAGGTTGAGAGTGAACACGGATGCGGCCACTTTCATTTTTGACAAAAAACATCTGAAAAGTGACACATTATGGCATATTTGATAGATTTTTCATATTTAAGCTTGAATTAGAGAGTCTGAAATGACTTATTCAGTTAAAATCTTTCACATAAAATAATTGAATCGACTGAAGTAGACACTTAAGAGTTTAAAAAGTGTAAAAAATCTTTCATCAGATGAACCTGAAATTTGAGGCCAAAATCCGCCCTTACCGGACCTACTCCTTTTGAATATTTTTTTTTAAACATAGTGTAATTGAATAGATTATGCTAATTTCCCTCATATGCTAAACTGTCTTAATATTCTTTATTTAAATGAGGATATGTGGTATGATTGCCAATAAGACAATTTATTCAGTGGCATTGGAGTAGACTGAAACATGGTCGTAAACTTCTAAAATGACAATGAAAATAAAAATTCCACACACGTCTATAGTCAAATTGTCTAGCGTTATTCCGTTGTCATTTTTTTATTTTAATAAATTTTTTTTGCCCTAAAGTTGGTGGAGGGGGGAGGGGGCAATTGTTCTTTTTCACTATTGATATTATAAAGTGTTTTCTTTTTAATTTGACCACAGACAATATTATTTGCTTTTATAAATAAATACCTGGGAGGGTCAAGCTCCACTTTTTTTATTTTTAAACTATGTTGGGAGTTTTTTCATCAGTTTCACTTATTTTATTGTTGCTCGCTTTAAGTTTAGTGGCAACTATTTTATGTATATTAAGGACATGAACAAATTTACAATTAATACAATAGGTAAGATCAACAAGATAGCTGGACTAGGATGAAGGGAGAGAAATTTGGACTGCCACTTGAATATAGGGATATCTTGGATAGGACAGAATACAGAAAATTAAATAAATTTTTACAGGAGGTACCTAGAATAAGAATGTATTGCCACCCATTCGATATTTTATTAGAAATAGTTGTAATTGGATCCTATCAGGACAGAATTTTTTGCAATATTTTTATCATGAGAAAATTGCGACAGGGTTTGTTTTCGCGAAAATAAAACTTTTGTTTTAAATTTTGGTAGCATTATTTGTATGCCGAATTTGAAGGAATTGTGATAATTGATTTAGCATCTTGGGTTATTTTTCAACAATTGCAATGATAAATGCATGCCAAAAAATCAGAGTTTACAGTATTACAAAAAAGCCTACCTCAAGTACTTAAAAGATATATTGTAGGATATTGGCTTATTAAAATGGTTAAAACCCACCTTGCCTTCTTTGACACTGTAACAATAAACTTTATACTTAGAATAAATTATCAAAATCTTTGACTACAATGTCTGCAAAACTTCAAAGTAGGATCCTCTCATTGTACGCAAATGAAATGCCAAAATTTGGAAGGCGTACAAACTCACAAAATGTAACAGAACAACAATCTCCATGAGCCAAAGTATGAATAAGTTTAAGAGTAAAAACTTCAAATTAACCAATGTGGATTCACTATTAATGGTGAGGGTACTTACTGTCATGATTTTTTAGGGTAATGTTTGACCACAAATCTTAATGCAAACAAAACAATTTCATATAGATTTGAATGCAGAATTAATATTTTAAACCAATAAATTATATTTCAACAAACATAAAACTCCCGAATCCAAGAAAACTGGTACCAATCATGAATGTAACCAGATTTACTTTATCCTTCAGTCTAAGGGTGTTTTTCTGGGTCCTCTTTCTATGTTCTGAATGGTAAGGAGGAGACACTGGAATAGGTAGCCATTTCAAGCTTCATTATATATGATAAAGTTGAGAAATGTTGATTAATGTATATGAAAAGGTTGTTCACTTCATCATAAGTGTCTGAAATGTTCAGTATTTTTTAAAGATCCAATTAAAAACACGATCATAATAGCCTCCAGGAATTGAACTTGGTTCACTGCAGATTACAGACTTTACTATCTCTTCCAGACCTCTCTTTCACTTTCTTCAAATCATTCTATAAAATAAAATTTGAAAAATAATTAATTAAGAAAAATTATTTGGACACAGACACAAGCAAATATATTACTAGCTAGGATAAAAATAACAATTGAGCTTGCTATATTGTGCATTCAATATAGGCATTTGTTTTTTCCCCAATCAATTATTGTTCTTGCCCGTCAATTTGGGCATATGAATTTTGATATCACTATAAAAATTTTCATTATTTTTCTTTTTTTTTACTTTTATAGGGTAATGCTGACCAAATAGGTTTATTTTGCTTACATTAAGGTGTGAAATTTTTGTGAGGGGTTTATTTTTCTATAATTTCTAGATGAAGAAAAAATGGTGATAGCCCTTCAAGTAAGATCAGAAATGGGGATGATAACAAAATATATGTGAAAGTTAAAACTGGTGAACAGGCCTTTAGCTGTTCAGTCATGAAACATAAAACAATACTCCGAGTATAAAATGTGTACTTGAAATACCTAATTCAGTATTTTGATTGATTGATTTCTGAGTCTGAGTACAATAATAAGAAATCAGGAATTTTCAACTCCACCACCCTCCCCCCCCCAGCCCCCCCCCCCCCCCCCCCCCCCCCCCCCCCCAGGTCTGACTACATTGTATTACCTGAAGTGCCATGACGGCTTTCTGATGATCTAACATCTGTGATTTCTGGTCAGTTATCTGTTTTCTTAGGTCAGATATTTCTCCCTCTAATGCTGCTTCTCTCTCCTATTAATATATATGTCATATAAATTAAAGTTTAAGTTTCTACATAAGATGAAAACTTTACCCTAAATTCAAAATCAAACTATAACATTAAAAAAAAAAGTCATATATTTCAGGGATCATAGGTAGAACTATGAGTTTATTTTTCAAACAGCCAAATTAATCAATGAGGGATTGGTTTTTATAGGAGAGATTTGAAGTTCCCAGTAAATGAACCCCACAGTGAACAATAGTTATTGTACATGTATTTAATAAATGGGACAGTTTACCTTGCAAAAAATTAAATACCCTGATAAACACCAACTGATTATGGGGAAAGGTTTTATTTCCTTTCCAATCATATGTTTAAATTTCTTTCAACAGAATATATTTGAACATTCACAAATTTATGTAATCTGACACTTTTTGTTTAATACAAGAAAAATGACAGAAAATTAAAAATTGAAAACATTTTCTGTGCAACTATCCTATGAATATTTATAGCTAGAGGCTCTCAAGAGCCTGTGTCGCTCACCTTGGTCTATATGCATGTTCAACAGGGGTCACTCTCCAACATTGTAGACGAGAATAGAATTAATGACAAAAATCTCTGTTTTTTTTTGTATCTTATATTGCTGATTATTGAAGTCTGTTTAGTTTCTCTCTATCTTCATGATTTTATTTAGCTTTTGCTCTAAACACAAAAGAGGGTAAAAAAACTCCTACAAAGAGTAACAGTCTACTTATTATATCAGCAAAATTTGACTTGTTTGTAGGTCTCGTCTTGCTTATCATTTTTGATTATTTAAGTTTCTATCTATCTATTATAATAATATCATACAAGGAAAAACGCCAAAAAAATGGTAAAAATCATAATTAAAGGGCAATAACTCCAATAAGGGGTCGTTGGACAATTTCTGCCATTTGTCTTTATTGTAGATTTTGTCTTGCTGAACATTTTTGTATATTTAAGTTTCTTTCTATCTATTATAAGTTTTAAGATATAAGACAAAAAATGCAAAAAAAATTGTACAAATCGGCATCAAAGGGAAATAACTCTAATAAGGAGTCAACTGATGATTTCAACCATAAGACTTATTTGAAGAACTTGTCCTTCTGATCATTTTTGCAATTTAAAGTTTCTCTCTATCTTTTATAGTTTTCAAGATATGATAATAGGCAAAAATCGAAAAAAAAGTGGTAAAATTTGTCATTTAAGGGCAATAACTCCTACAGGAAATTGTCTTACAGTTTTGATGTATATGGATAATTGGTAGAGCTCAACATTCTGAACAATTTTACCCTCTTCAGATTTCCTCTTTTTATAACGGTTATCAGAATAATAGACAAAACTTGCATTTTACCCCATATGTTCTATTTTTTGCCATGTCGGCCATCTTTGTTGGCAGCCAGGGTCATCGGACACATATTTTAATGTCAGATTTGCTCTAAATGCTTTAGTTTCAGAGATATAAGCCATAAACTGCATTTTACCCCTATGTTCTACTTTTAGCCATGTCGGCCATTTTGGACGGCGGGTTGGATCATCGGACACATTTTTTAAACTAAATATCCTAATGATGATTGTGGCCAAGTTTGATTCTATTTGGCCCAGTAGTTTCAGAGGAGAAGATTTTCGAAAAGATTACAAAAATTATGAAAAATTGTTAAAAATTGACTATAAGGGCAATTACTCCTTAAGGAGTCAATTGACCATTTTGGTCATGTTGACTTATTTGTAGATCTTACTTTACTGTACATTATTGCTGTTTACAGTTTATCTATATCTATTATAATATTGAAGATAATCACCAAAAACTGCAAATTTTCTTAAAATTACCAACTCAGGGGCAGCAACCCAACAACTGGTTGTCTGATTTGTCTGAAAATTTCAGGGCAGATAGATCTTGACCTGATGAACAATTTTACCCAATGTCAGATTTGCTCTAAATGCTTTAGTTTCAGAGATATAAGCCAAAATCTACATTTTACCCCTATGTTCTATTTTTAGCCATGGCAGCCATCTTTTTCAAACTAGATACCCCAATGATGATTGTGGCCAAGTTTGGTTAACTTTGGCCCAGTAGTTTCAGAGGAGAAGATTTTTGTAAAAGTTAACGGACGACGGACGACGGACACCAAGTGACGAGATAAGCTCACTTGGCCCTTTGGGCCAGGTGAGCTAAAAACGATTGCTTACAGGATTTTATTCAAACAATTGTTTAACACACATTTTATTTTGGCGTTTTATTTAATAAAAAAAAAAAATCAGACCTTTGCTTTCTTTTCCACTTCTCTCTTCAACAATTCTGTCTGAAACTTATGTTCCTCCTCTAAAATCTTTATCTTTTCTTGAGCTCTTCTTTTTTCTCCTCTTGTTAGTTCTAATTCATTCTGAAAGGACATTTAGGTTGGTTAAAAATAGAAACATAGCAATAATAATAAAACGGACAGACACCCATCATTGGGAGTTGGGTAGAAAAATGCAAAATTTACATTTTATAAGTATAATTTTTTATTTTATCTTCATAAAAATGTCAAAAAAAAAGATGTGTACTAACTACCGGGTACTGACAATTATAAGATATCTCGTATGAAACTAATGACACTAAAAGTCCAAATATTTCAAATCAAAATATCCTTGCGAAAATTAAAGCAAATATTGATAAAAAGAGATGTGGGGGTATACTAGGTATGCCCAAAGGACAGCAACCAAACAACACAAATAACCTTAATACAACTAGAGGTCTCTTTAATAAAAATAACATTGTGTTTACAGTACTTTTTTTATGTTTTACCTTAAGAGCCTCTTGTTTCCTTTTCACCGTGACATCAGATACAAAGCCCCTCGCTGCTAACTGTTCCTTCCAATCTTGCCTATAACAAAATTGCTAATGTTTGCAAATGATGTACAATAGTAAGTTTTCTATATTACAGAAACAAGAGTTCAGTTTTTTTCCTCACTATATAATAAAACACATTAATTTCCTATCAGAATTTTATAGAAGTGGGTGATGAGAAATGCAACTGTTTTCAAATCATGTTCAATAGTAATTTTTCTATCATTTTTTACTTCAATTACTCCCAAAATATCTGCTTACTTTATGTCTTTATTTCTGAAATTGAAACTTATCAAACCATGTATACAATTCATTCAAAACTTTCAGTAATTGTTTTCACATGAAGATGAATGTGAAGCTGCCAGATTAAAGCTGATACAAGTCTTGTCTTAAAATAAGTGCCCTTGTTCTATGAGTAGACTATTCCTTCATTAATTCATAAATAAAAATTAATAAAGTCCCAGTAAAAAAAACTTACCCTTGGCCTCTATCTCTGGATTGGGCCTTATTTCTGTTGGCCCCTGATGGTCCAGGAGGTAGTCTGTTCCTGATGGACTGTGGGGATACCTTCCTTACCCTAGCCACATCAATCTTCAGTCTGTTGTTGTCTTTAGTTTGTTTAGATCTGTTTTACAAATGAAAATTTAATACTATACAATTTTAATGAAAGCAAACATTCATTTTTCTAATGAAATCTCGTATGTAAGGTTCATTTTGATTGGATAACGTCACCATTTTCATGGCATCAATCCACAATTGATGCTATGAAAAGGTATGTGCAAGTGCAGAAGACGTATGCCAGATATTAAATGTATGATTTGACCTTGTTTTCTGTCAGTTTCTTTTGAATGGAGATAACAATACAGTTATCTCCTAATTCGAACCTTCAACATTAACAGTAAGGTTACGATAGTCAATGCTATTCATACCGGTACTCTTGATGTAATAAAATGATATTAAAATGATTTTTTTCATATCAAGGTTTTTTGTATCACATATTGCACATTAAAAGAAAATTTCAATTATTTTAAATTTTGTTATTCAAATAAAACGGCTAAGCCAGAAATGTCAGGATATGACTTTTGAATTTATGTGCATTTTTAAAGGAAGTACAGAAAAAGATTATTGCTTTACACAGTTATATGATGAAACAGTAACCAACTTAATTAAAGAGAACTTGTGATCTTCTAATTCTGTAAGACGTACTGTAAATTCAGAAATTATTGCGAGGTTTTTATTAATGCGAATAATGTGACTGTGTGAGTATTGCAATAATAAGAACTCACATTCTGATAACTGAAACATGGACCTTTATGCAGATTTTTTCAAAATTGCTATAATTAAACTCGCATTTTTGTCCATTCTTTCAAAATCGCAATAATAAATGCACGCAATAATTTTTGAATTTACAGTATGGGACTATAATTTGGTTTGTTCAGGTTTAGGCTTGATTTTAAACTAAAGAGTTAGTCTAAGGTTACACTGATAGATAATGGGATTTATGTAGAGATAGGGGTCAAGAAACACTGATTCTATATGGTCTGGGATATTGTATTTAAAATGGGCCAAACTTACTCGTTATTATCCTTAGAACTTCCATCAGATTGAAGATCTAACTCACTCTCTGTACTGTTGTAAGACAGACTTTTAACCTGGTGAACTTCAACCTTTCCAAAGGCCTAGAATAAAGAGATAATCAAAGAATCTAACATTGATATTATAATACCATATTTACTCAAACAAAAAATAAATATCTAAACAAATTGGATTTTTTTTTTCATTTTCAAACTTTTTGTAAGTGAGATTTATCTTAGACCAAATGGGATGTCTTTTGTTAATTACATTTGTATTGTGTTTTGGTACCTAAGTACCAATCTGCCTAAGAATCAGGCAGTGGGGAAAACATGACAAACAAAAACCCACTCAAGTTGACATTAATGTATGTTCAAAATATATAATGGTTGAAATGCACAAGAAATTAACAATTAAGGGGAGATAACTCCATAATTTGCTATCATTCTAACCAAAATTTATCTAGATATTTCTTGAATTACCAGACACGAAGAAACAAAAGACCTACCATTTCTAACTCAGGATGAGGGTACCTTCAAAATAGAGTGGTAAGGTTGGTGGGTTTTTTTCGGCCATGTTTTGAAATTTTTCTAATTTGCCTGATTCTTACAAAGACTAGCACTTAATACAGACGTAATATGGCAATCCATTTTCTTCTGATTTTTACAGTTTGTTCTTCAGTTGCACTGTTATACTATTGTCCCATGTTAGTCAGGGGTTTCATAGCTTATAAACATGTTTAACCCTGCCACATACTTTATGTGCCTGTCCAAAGCTAGGGGCCTGTAGTTCAGTATTTTGTGTTAGTTGCTGTCTACTGTATTTGTTTTTCATTTATACAATAATGATAGAAAATCAAGAGGCCATTAAAGTTAATGTTTCTACAGTTTTCCAATCATTTAAGACGAATAAATTAGATATTTGTACCATTGTCATACCTGAACTGTAAACTTTGCTGAGTTGCTGAAATCTTTGGACAGTTTCCCTTCCGGATTAGACGAATCATCACAATTCTTTCCTATAAAATATTAATAAAATTGAGAATGGAAAAGGGGAATGTGTCAAAGAGTAAAACTATATCATAATCATACTGAATCTCCTTATTTAACATCTGCATCTTAAAAGCTGTGTATCTATTGGATGATAAAAAAATATAACAGTGAATATGTCATTGAGAAAAAGTGCATGGATAAGCAAGGGAGATAATATATTCCAGTGATATTATCATCGGTTTGATAAGCCCTCAGGTTTGTGACTATTAATACTAACATTCGTATCATTAGTATGGGAAATAATTCCTAATAAGTTGTATTATCAGTAGAGAAGTAACTTCTCTCAATAGTGTCATTAGCCTAGGATGCTGGCTCACTGACTGATAAATGAGCCAGGCTGAATACAACAAAATGTATTTGTGTATTGGATGTTAGAAAGATGAAGTATGGGAAAGCATCATTTCTTGATATATGGGAGAAAATTTTTTGTTGCCACATGAAATTGTTTCAATATTCCAGCAAAATGAAATTTTGAGTAAAAATATAGCAATAAAATCAAACCTTACTAAATTACATTGTGAATCAAGTTTATTTGCATTCAGGCTGATATATTTATTATTTATATATAACACAAATATGCAATCTTATTCAGTCCCGTTCACTGCTAAAAAGTTCTATTTTGACATGGATTCTATTTTTCCTGACCTTACTGGCCCAAAGAGGAGGTTTTTTCAAGATTCTAGGCTATTGTACCATCAATAAAGGAGATAAATAAAATCATTTGTGTCATCAATGAGCAGATAACTCCTATCAATTGTCTCATTTGTTTAATCAGAAAGATAGGAGAGATATTTCTTAATTGTAAATAGATAACTCCTATTACTTGTTTCATTGATGGGAGAGATATTTCACATTTGTACCATTAGTAAGGTAGATAACTCATATCATGTGTGTCATCAGTAAGCGAGATAACTCCTATAATTTTCCTCTCACCAAATTAGAGATAATACCTACTGTTTGTTAATTCTTTATTTATCTGTATACTTGACATAGAGGCATCCACAAGTCCACTTCTTCTTTCATCATCAGAGTGGTCACTGGTATCATCTGGTTCATTACCATCATTTAATTCATCTTCAGACAGAGCTAACTCCTGCTTGATCCAATTTGGTACCTTAAACATAAAATGGTGAACAAATAGTCAAAGCTAACTCCTGCTTGATCCAATCTGGAACCTTTTATGGTAATAGCAACAAAAAATATAACTATATTAAATTCTCAAAAGTATTAGTATTTTCCTAGCAATTTAATTTCATGTTTTCAATTACTGTAAATTCAGAAATTATTGTGATGTTTTTATAATTGCGAAAAATGCGACAGGGTTATAATCACAATAATTTAAACTCGCATTTCGAAATTTTTTATATGAATTAAACAGGATTTTTCTCAATATCACAAAAATTAAAATCGCATTTTAGTCTAAAATGACAAAATCGAAATAATAAATGAACGCAATAATTTCTGAATTTACAGTATATGATGAATAAAATAGTCCATCAGCTGGTTACAAATATATATATAATCAAGTTTAGTGGCTATTTTCACCCACACATAAATTTTTAATTAAAAGGAAATAATAAAAAATGGAACTAATTCATTGTTTTTTTAGTGATTGAAATTGTTTTTGACTATAAAGTATTTTTCATTGTAAGACTTTTATAAATTGTGAAATTTTATGATAAAGAATAATAATGTGCTTTTTTTTCGGTAAACTTTCTTGAGATTTTTTCATGATTTTGTCCAAAAATCAGCCTTTTGACCTATCCCCTAGACCAACTTATAGTGCGGAATATATGGTATTTAAATGGACTAAAATACTAACAGGTCCATGGGTATCCATTTCTGATGCTTCTGATGAATATTCATCACCACCTTCATGACTAGATAAAGAGTACAGGGCCTTAGTTTCCTGTGGCACATTTAGAGTGTTTCCACTGTAACGTTTTCTACAATAGATAAACGAAAATTATCATTAGTATACAGAGTACAGGGCCTTAGTTTCCTGCGGCACGTTTAGAGTGTTTCCACTGTAGCGCTTTCTACAATAGATAAACGAAAATTATCATTAGTATACAGAGTACAGGGCCTTAGTTTCCTGCGGCACGTTTAGAGTGTTTCCACTGTAGCGCTTTCTACAATAGATAAACGAAAATTATCATTAGTATACAGAGTACAGGGCCTTAGTTTCCTGCGGCACGTTTAGAGTGTTTCCACTGTAGCGCTTTCTACAATAGATAAACGAAAATTATCATTAGTATACAGAGTACAGGGCCTTAGTTTCCTGCGTCACGTTTAGAGTGTTTCCACTGTAGCGCTTTCTACAATAGATAAACGAAAATTATCATTAGTATACAGAGTACAGGGCCTGTTTCCTGTGGCTCATTTAGAGTGTTTCCACTGTAACGCTTTCTACAATAGATAAACAAAAATTATCATAAGTATACAGAGTACAGGGCCTTAGTTTCCTGTGGCACGTTTACAGTGTTTCCACTGTAACGCTTTCTACAATAGATAAACGAAAATTATCATTAGTATACAGAGTACAGTACTGTGGCTCATTTAGAGTGTTTTCCTCTGTAATGTCTTCTACAAAATTAATATGTAAAAGATAAAGACAGATTACCATTAGTATACAGAGTACAGGGCCTGTTTCCTGTGGCTCATTTAGAGTGTTTTCCTCTGTAATGTCTTCTACAAAATTAATATGTAAAAGATAAAGACAGATTACCATTAGTATACAGAGTACAGGGCCTGTTTCCTGTGGCTCATTTAGAGTGTTTTCCTCTGTAATGTCTTCTACAAAATTAATATGTAAAAGATAAAGACAGATTACCATTAGTATACAGAGTACAGGGCCTTAGTTTCCTGCTGCACATTTAATGTGTTTCCACTGTTACATTTTGTACAACAGATTAAGGCAGATTATCATTAATATACAGATTACATGGCCTTATTTCTATATCCATTGTACTCGTTCACTCCAAGTCTGCAATATATTTGTGGACTGGGAAAAAAAGGCTTGTGGAACTAAGCATACTAGTTTGATCTTGTAGAAAGGTAGATCTGACGGAATTTCCAATCACAAATGAAGTATTTTTACATCCAAAAAATGAATTTCGTTTAAGCTGGTACTGGAGACCATCTTCAGTTTGCAACAAGTCGTAAGCTTTTTTCTCTTGATGTTGAAACACTAAATGTGACCTTCAGATGAAAATTACATAGTACAGAGCTTTAGTACAGAGCCTTAGTGTCCTATGGGACATTTAGAGTAGTATCCACTGTAACGTGTATTGTACTTGTTCACTCCAAGTCTATCACTAGTATACAGAGTACAGGGCCTTAGCTTCCTGTGGAACATTTAGAGTGTTTTGTCAAGTGTTTCATGCATTAATAAAACCATATCCCTGTTTTCCCTAGCACTTAATAATACCTTATTCCCCTTTTCTTTCTACTTTTACGTTTTGGAGGTGGCGCTGTTGTCTCCATCTGTATAAACAGATTCTCCCCATGACAGTAAAAACTACTGATTGTCAGCTGTTCAGCACTATTCTTCATAATTCTGAAAAGAAACATAAATATATATAAATTCAACTCTCGTCTCGAAGTAAGTCAGATCAGAGAAATATTTCATGATACTTGTAGTTTGACTCATATGAAAACCAGAAGTTTGAGACCAAGGGACACAACTCTTGCTTAGCTTGGTAAATAAGGGTAGGGGATTGGTATTCTGGTCCTAGATCGATGTATCTGTATGTAATTGTCTTCTATGATTATAATACAATTGTGTTTTGTCTGTTATTTCTATTAACAGAAACACTTTTTTTTGTGGTTTCCAGCCAAGAGAATATTTTTTTGACATTGTTTCATAGAAAACAAGAAATGATTGTAACAGGATGCTGTTACGAAGTCTCCCAAACGAAGCTCCCATAATTCGTAATTCCCAGGGTCGCCTGACATTGGGCAAAGTCCAGTGAAAATTGGTTTGGTCCAGTAAAGTTATAGGCATTAGTGATGCCTGGGGACTAACCCTGTATATCATTCAAATCATCTTGGCATGACAAACCAGAATATATATGGTTTAGGGGTGGGGATCTCGACCATTTACAAGATACTAGAACATTGGGGTGGGGGGAACCCCTGGGGACTGACCCTATACGTCATTCAAATGTTCGAGACATGAAGAACAGGAATATATATGGTTTAGGGGTGGGGATCTCGACCATTTACAAGATGTTAGAACATTGGGGGTGGGGGGGGGGGGGGGGGGGACCCCTGGGGACAGACCGTATATGTCATTCAAATGTTCGAGACATAATGAATAGGAATATATATGGTTTAGGGGTGGGGATCTCGACCATTTACAAGATATTAGAACTTTCTCAAATGGCAGGGGGTCAGGATGACCCCTGGGGACTAACCCTGTATATCATTCAAACCATCTTAGCATGACAAACCAGAATATATATGGTTTAGGGGTGGGGTTCTTGACCACTTACAAGATATTAGAATTTTCTTAAATGTCATGGGGTGGGGGTGACCCCTGGGGACTAACCCTGTATTACAATTGATGTGCTTTATCATGACAAACCAGAATATATATGGTTTAGGGGTGGGGATCTCGACCATTTACAAGATATTAGAACTTTCTCAAATAGCAGGGGGTAGGGATGACCCCTGGGGACTAACCCTGTATATCATTCAAACCATCTTAGCATGACAAACCAGAATATATATGGTTTAGGGGTGGGGATCTTGACCACTTACAAGATATTAGAACTTTCTTAAATGGCATGGGGTGGGGGTGACCCCTGGGGACTAACCCTGTATTACAATTGATGTGCTTTATCATGACAAACCAGAATATATATGGTTTAGGGGTGGGGATCTCGACCATTTACAAGATATTAGAACTTTCTCAAATAGCAGGGGGTTGGGATGACCCCTGGGGACAAACCCTGTATATCATTCAAACCATCTTAGCATGACAAACCAAAATATATATGGTTTAGGGGTGGGGATCTTGTCCCACTTACAAGGTATTAGAACTTTCTTAAATGGCAGGGGGTGGGGGTGACCCCTGGGGACTAACCCTGTATTTCATTTAATGGGCTTTATCATTTAGAACATTTTCAATTAAAAAGATTGTGTCTATCACAAACGGTTTTGAATTTCTAATCATTTGAAAATTTTAAAATATAAAATCCCATAGGGTTCTATAGTAAAACCCTCTTTTCTTTTTGCCCCTCAAAGTACCCCTTATTAACCCCATTGCACAAACAAAACCCTGATTGCACCACTAGACATGTTAGTCTAACATATTGTGAAACCCTAAGTTAATGTGACAAGTGGTTTTGGAGAACGGGTGCGGACAAGTTCAAATTTAAAAGCGGCGGAAGAAGAAGAAGAAAGAAGAAGAAGAAGAAGAAGAAGAAGAATAATAATAACTGAGCAAAAACAATAAGTCTTCCCAAACTTCGTTTGAGAGACTTAATAAAAGAAGAATATGTCTGAGGACACGAATGCCCCTACTCAAGCTTGCTAATAATATGTGAAATTACTTTTGAGATTTGAGACAACCGAAATTTCAACTAATCCAATTTAGATTCATCAGGTGTATATACACATAGTTTTATATGGAGCAAAGTTCAGGACAACATGAACATTTTTACTTATCCAAAATTTAGAGACAACTAAGTTTGAGACAATGAAAGTTAACTGTAGTTGATCCTCATTTATGTGATTATTCTTAAATGAAACAAACATGTTTTAATAGAAAAACAGAAATCTCTTTTTTTGTATTGCAGTATATATTAATTACAGTTCACAAAAAGCAATTTTCATCATTAAAATCCTTTTGACATGGAAATAAATTCTATGATCTTCTTTTTTTTCTACCAGGTTTTGAGGGTTGCATTTGCAAATATATCAGTGTATTTTATATCTTTCATACCAAACTGAAGTGAAATTATCTTTCATTGTAAAAAATGAAAAATGAAATTAAACGAATACAAGGGTTTTTTTCAAAGACCTTAGACTACTTGAAATTAAACAGACAAAAAAGGAAAGAAAAATGCATCACAGCAGTATTACTTCAAGAAAAGGGGGAATAACTCTATTCCAATTTTTAGAGCCAAATTCCTGCTTTCAGGAAGAAATATCAGGAATGGGTTATAATATCATCATTGGATTGCTTTTCCATTGACATTTACCCAACAATTCCTTTTAATCATAAAAAATGTATAAGACATAAAAAACAGTTTACTTGAGCAAATGTTTTGGCGGGTAGATAATTTCAGCATCATCTGTCAGTGTCTCTTCCTTGTCTTTATTATCTTTACTACTGGCACTTGCTGTTCTTCTCCTAGAACTACCTATAAAGGTAAATAATCAATTAAACATTTAGTAACTTCTAGAACTACCTATAAATGTAAATAATCATTTAAACATTTAGCATACAGTCAAACCTCGTTGTGTCGAACTGGGTTGCGTTGAAAACTCTGATGAGACGAAGTAATTTCTTGGTCCCAGTAAAATTCCCGTTTGATCAATGCATAATTACCTCTGATGAGTCGAACTCGGTTGCTTCGAATACTCGGTTAAGTCAAGTAAATTTCATAGTCCTGTCGATGTAAAATTAATGTAAATTGACCTCGATGTCTCGAAGTTTGAAAGTAAGAATTTTCGAATGATGCAGACCTAATGATGAAAATTCAAATCGGATGTATTTCTTATGTAACCTAATCATTTCAAAAGAGATTAAAGCTGAGTAAACATACTTGTTTGTATAACAGTTAAAATGTCATGTTTATGGTGACCAGTAATTAACACCTTAATTGATCGTTCAAGCGGAACGTTAGTGTGTGGAACATATTTCACCTGACATAAAAACGAAACGAATTTAAATGACCCAAGCCGAGATTAAATGAATTGTTAGAATTAAAATTCATTAATTACAATAAATAAAAGGATTTAGACAATTATGATAAATTCATAATAATTTAATGTAAAGCAGATGATCTCACCAGAGACCATTCAGAACTTTTTTCGTTCCGTGAGTGATTTCATAATTTAAAGTGACTGACCTTTGTAAATATTTGTGTATACCATTGATTTCATTTGTGCATGATTTGTATCTGTACTTGTGATGTTGTGTGTTTAATTATTATGAAGGACCAAAAAATATGGAGATAGAATACACAATCATAAAATGTCATATCGAAAAAAGGCACACTGTTCCAAGTATCTAGTTTACACAAATCTTATATCGTATGTCATGCATTCCAAATTTATGACGACACACTTGACCTCGGATGAGTTGAACCTCGGATAAGTCGAATACTTTGGTCCGGTCCCTTTGACTTTGACACAACAAGGTTCGACTGTATATAATCTTTTTAGAATTCTTAGAAATTAAAATACTCTAGGTAAAATGAATTAGATTTTCAGAACTTTGTACTTCAAAAACAAAAAGATGAATCCATCTTCTAATTTTTAATTTTCATGGCCTGGCCGTCTTAGATTGGGGCAATATAGTTTTACCCTTATCTTTCATTCCATTATTCTGCAACGAACAGTTATACAGACTTTTTTCTAAATGCCTTCATATATTCAGCTGATTTTTAGTATGTGAGTCAACTCTGATGAGTTACAGATCAACTTTATGTTTGGTTCTGGCCGCTGATATTTGCCGAAATTACAGGCTTTGGACTTTGAAAATTTCCACTCCTAAAAATGGCTTCAAGATTTTTAGTGAGCAGGGCCATTCTTGTCATTCCAAGTGTTAGTTCAAGATTTTTAATGTTTTATACATTATCAATTGAAACAACATCAATGATATGTCATAAGTCAAATGTTTCTTGTTTTGAATTTCTGCGGGGTACATCATTAACTGTTTTCCATGGCTTACCTTGTTTTAAAAAATACATAAATACTAACTTAAAGGTCTGAATCCAGGTTTGGTGTCATTGCTATGAGAAGGAAATCCACTGTCTGTCAGACTGGCTGATAATGCACTATCTACACTTGTCTGTCTCTGATGGGAGGGGCTTTGTTTGACTCCTCCCCCACTTTCAACACCTGCAATAGGAATAAATTGATTCAGATTACATCTACACTTGTCTGTCTTTGATGGAAGGGGCTTTGTTTGGCTCCTCCCGCACTTTCTACGCCTGAAAATAGTAGGAATTTGTAAAGATTTAATATCATATTTTATATTGTATGAGTGGAAATATTCCAGCTTTATGCATTTTTGCAACTGGTAAGATGTAATCTAAATTCAATGAATGGAATATTTAAACAAGCAATTGTGTCCATTATAGGTTACAATGCCCTGCTGGCACTATATTTCTATGTCGAGTGAACCATTAACTGAGGTCAATACCCTACTTTTGCATACAATTTAAATAGTTCACATCATATGAACATGTGCACTACGCTTCAAGTTAATGTGATATATGGTAGACTTACCTTCATCTTTACTGCTACTGAGTGGATCTTTGTTACTAACTATACTAGAAACACTTGTTAAACTTGTTTGTCTGGAATGTGTCTTGTTATTACTGGTTGCCAGTTTAGACTGAGAACCATAGTCCTTTCTTAAGTCCACAGAGCTAGCATGACGAGAACTATTTCCTGAATCTCTTTTTGTTGCACTGTTTTCACCTACATTATGACTAGATTGTAATTTAGTCAGTGAACCAGACTCTCTCCGTAAATCGGTAGAACTGGCATGCCGAGAATGATTACCAGAATCACGCCTCAACATGGTTTCTTTGTCCTTTTGAAGGAAACTATCCATACCACTTCCGTGGCTAAGTTGACGAGTGTGTAAAGATTTACCTCCCTTGTCACTAGTTATTAATTCATTAACACTCGATGAACTATTTTGACGGGAGTGACCTCCGGCAGCCTTACGGGGAGTAATACTCTCTAGTCTACAATCCCCGGTATTTATTACACTGCCATTTGTACTTGAATGGCTGTCATTATCCTCTAAATAAAATGATGTAGGATTTTTAAATCTTAGTCCCCAGTAATAAAGTTCATTATCTTCTGTACTGGCAACTGTATAATGATGTCCACACTGCACTCTCTGAAAAAAGAAATTGTGTGCACTCATGTTTTTTTTAATTGAAATTATTGATGAACATCGCATTCATGAAATATCTTATAAATTTATAATCATTATTACAAATGCATTGAATTAAGGATTGATTTGAAACTACCCTTTTCTGATATGAGCTGTTATGACATAGTATCTACATAATACTCATTAAGTCTTTAAGTGTTTATATCAGATTGACTTCATCATTGTACCTTCATTTAACATCTGTAAGTTCCAAATCATATACTGTAAATTCATAAATTAATGCTTGCATTTATTATTGCGATTTTGTCATTTTAGTCTAAAATGTGATTTTAATTTTTGCGATATTGAGAAAAATCCTGTTTAATTCATATAAAAAATTCAAAATGCGAGTTTAAATTTTCGCAATAATCAAAACATCGCAATAGTTTCTGAATTTACAGTACATGTACTAAATCATGTTATCATGTTTGGTCAATAACAAAATATGACATCAACAGCTGGGCTTGAATTGATATTAGTCCCAATTATGTCGAGTATGAAATCAATATCTGTTCACATTTTGGATGAGAAATTTAAATACTAGCGAGATATGGGACCTACTAAGATAATGCCATATTTACTTCAATAAAATGCTAAAAGAAAATCAATTGTTTTACATAACATAGCAGTTACTTTTAGTATCAATTAACCCTTTCCTACATGTAGGCTCAAATTCAGACAGGGGCACCACCATAAAATAAAGTAAAAAATGTTTTAAAGGTTAAATTACTACCGATTTTGTGTCAAAATAAGGTCTTCTAATTCTTATTCTTAGGAATGCACCCCTAACATCAAATCCTGGATCTGTGCTTGTCCTATACAAACTTACATTAACAGTTTTATCCTTCATGGCCTTGACCTCTACATAACCACCAATTTGTTTGACGTTACTAGCTCCAAGCTGACCTTCTGTGTTCCTACCAAAGGTATATATCTGACCTGGCTTCACCATTACAGCTGTATGTGTTGGTCCCATGGAGATATCCAGTACACCTTTGATGGCCTTGACTGGTGTGGGGACCTTCTGGCCTTCTACTTCTGTCTGTAAAAGTTTGTATTATATGTAAAATAAAATGCTCCGCTGGGGCGCAGCTTAATACGACCACAGAGGTCGAACCCTGAACAGTTGGGGCAAGTATGGACACAACATTCAAGCTTGATACAGCACTGAATTTGGATTGTAATTAAATATTTGACACAGCATAGGTTTCTGACACAGAATGAAAGTGGTCTTAGAACTTAAAAATTTTTAATTTACCTATTCAAACCATATCATTATTATTTGCTTTTATATATAAATCAGAAATAACCAATTTAAAATGGAAAATTTGAAAGAAAAAAAAGGAAAAAAAAATCCCCCCCCCAAATTTTTTGAACCCCCTTATGATTCATCACCCCCAAACTCAATCCCAGCCTTCCCTTTGTGGTATGGTACCTTGCAGTACAATTTCAGAGAGATCTATACACTTGAACACAAGTTATTGTCTGGAAACTAGAAAAATGCTTGTTTTTTGGCCCCTTTATCCTAAACGTTTGGGGCAATTACCCCCAAACTCAAACCCAGCTTTCCCTTTGTGATATGGAACCTTGTAGTACAATTTCATAAAGATCCATACACTTACACACAAGTTATTGTCCTGAAACTAGAAAAATGCTTGTTTTTTTGCCCTTTTATGGCCCCTTATTCCTAAAATTTGGAGGGAATTACCCCCAAAATCAATCCCAGCCTTCCCTTTGTGATATGGTACCTTGCAGTACAATTTCAGAGAGATCCATACACCTGAACACAAGTTATTGTCTGGAAACTAGAAAAATGCTTATTTTTGGCCCCTTTTTGGCCCCTTATTCCTAATCTTTTTGGGCAATTACCCCCAAACTCAATTCCAGCTTTTCCTTTGTGATATAGAACCTTGTAGTACAATTTCATAAAGATCCATACACTTACACACAAGTTATTGTCATGAAACTAGAAAAATGCTTGTTTTTTGCCCCCTTTTGGCCCCTAATTCCTAAAATTTGAAGGCAATTACCCCCAAAATCAATCCCAGCATTCCCTTTGTGATATGGAACCTTGTGATACAATGTCAGAGAGATCCATACACTTACACATAAGTTATTGTCATGAAACTAGAAAAATGCTTGTTTTTTGCCCCTTTTTTGCCCCTAATTCCTAAAATTTTGAGGGAATTACCCCCAAAATCAATCCCAGCATTCCCTTTGTGATATGGAACCTTGTGGTACAATGTCAGAGAGATCCATACACTTACACACAAGTTATGTCTGGAAGTTATAAAAATGCTTGTTTTTTGCCCCCTAATTCCTAAAATTTGGAGGCAATTACCCCCAAAATCAATCCCAGCATTCCCTTTGTGATATGGAACCTTGTGATACAATGTCAGAGAGATCCATACACTTACACACAAGTTATTGTCATGAAACTAGAAAATGCTTGTTTTTTGCCCCTTTTTTGCCCCTAATTCCTAAAATTTTGAGGGAATTACCCCCAAAATCAATCCCAGCATTCCCTTTGTGATATGGAACCTTGTGATACAATGTCAGAGAGATCCATACACTTACACACAAGTTATTGTCAGGAAACTAGAAAAATGCTTGTTTTTTGCCCCTTTTTTGCCCCTAATTCCTAAAATTTTGAGGGAATTACCCCAAAAATCAATCCCAGCATTCCCTTTGTGATATGGAACCTTGTGGTACAATGTCAGAGAGATCCATACACTTACACACAAGTTATGTCTGGAAGCTATAAAAATGCTTGTTTTTTGCCCCCTAATTCCTAAAATTTGGAGGCAATTACCCCCAAAATCAATCCCAGCATTCCCTTTGTGATATGGAACCTTGTGATACAATGTCAGAGAGATCCATACACTTACACACAAGTTATTGTCATGAAACTAGAAAAATGCTTGTTTTTTGCCCCTTTTTTGCCCCTAATTCCTAAAATTTTGAGGGAATTACCCCCAAAATCAATCCCAGCATTCCCTTTGTGATATGGAACCTTGTGGTACAATGTCAGAGAGATCCATACACTTACACACAAGTTATGTCTGGAAGTTATAAAAATGCTTATTTTTGGCCCCTTTTTGGCCCCTAATTCCTTAACTGTTGGAACCATAACCCCCAAAATCAATCCCCACCTTTCTTTTGTGATATTGAACCTTATGGTAAAATTTCATAGAGATCCATTCACTTAAACTAAAGTTAGAGTGCGAAAACTAATGTGTCTTCGGACGACGACGACGACGATGCCAACGTCATACCAATATACGACCACAAAAATTTTTTTGCGGTCGTATAAAAATCATTTACATTTCAAAATTAATCCCAATTTAAATGAAGTGAAAAAAAATTAAGTACTTATAGTTCATATCTATACTATGATAATTGCCAGATATGGCTACATAATTTGTATTTGCATACTGTAATATTCAATATTAAGAAAACAGAAATTACCAGGAGGCATTTTCAAGATATTATCAAATAATCAAAGTAATATATGTTAATTTGCAAGAAATACTTTACTTAAAAGATTTTCTTAAATTGATTCAAAGACTAGGTTTAAGAAATTACTTGTTTATGTAATCTATCAAAATTGCAACCTTTTTCTTGAGAAATAAACAAACATGGTATATGACATAAAATTACCATGGTGGTGCTCCTATTAAAGGAGGAAGATACAGAGCATACACACATACCTTAGTGAAGATATTTTTCATGGCCATGATGAAACCAAATCTGTTGTTAAGCCCCAGTTTGTTGTCTAAGTTGTTACCACAAGCAAAGACACTGCCTACATCAGTGATAAACATGGTCCCATCCACACCACATCGTACATCTCGTATCAAAACCTTATCATCTACCAGGATCTGTGTGGGTATACACCTTGTAATTAAAAGTACAACTAATTAGAAAAAAATCATATGCAATGAGAACTAGTTTGGCACACATGATTTTCAAGAAAATACAACAGTTTTTTCTATGTGTTGACTGAAAAAAAAAACACTACACATGTTTCAAACTTTATTGACTTGCCAAATTATTATTAGTCAAGGCTTGAAAATCAAGGCAAAAACAATGAACCATTACATAAACTAAAATTTTGTCCTTGTAAAATAATTTTCCAAGTCTTAGTGTCTGATGGCATGAAGGCTAATCAGGACATCTAAAACAGTGAGTTCCCATAATACAATACCACTGCTAAATTTAATTTTCTATGCATTGGTATGTGGCCTGTTGTTCTTTGAGGGGCGTAAAGGGAGAACGAGAAATAAAATTGCCATTTCACGATGAACAAACAATTAAACATTTCTTGCACATTGATCTTTTTACCGATTTCACGAAACACGGTGAATAACAAACCTTTTTCATGACTGCAAGTGAAATAAAAATGGCAAAACAAGTTGCACGAAAAAATAACCCTTTACCACCCTTTTCTTCTTTTGTCATTTTTATTATGTTTTGACATGCTATTGTTGGTTTTTCTTCAACATATGATTTTGATTGTCCCTTTGATGTCTCCTGCTGCTTTATTTTTCCCAAACACTATAGTGTCAATCGGCACCACAGGCCAACGAGAAGACCTTTCCGTTAAGCCCTATATACCAACCTGGCTCCCTTTCAGAAATGATTTTATCATGGAAAATAAAAGGGTGAATTAATGTACCAGAAGCCCATTCCTATGTATAATGAAGGAATCATAATTAAATTAACAATAAAGGTAAATCTGCTGAAAGAGCGGACTAAAATCATCTCTGCCACCTTTTAAACTTACTGATCATCATCATTTCCTAGCCCCAGACGTCCATCAGCACCACAGCCCCAGGAGAAAACTTCTCCCTCACTGCCAACTACCACAACATGCTTTTTCCCACAGGCTACAGCAATTACATCAATACTATAATGTATGAAAAAAAGTTTTATATTTTTATAAATTATATATAAGTGATTTTATACAGATAAATATTATAAAATAAAATAAAATAAAACAAAAAATGTTGTTTAAGAACTTTAAAGAATGAGGTGGCCGCAGTGTTGGCCAAATGGTCTAAGTAGTTGAATTCCTGCATCACTAGCCTGTCAACACTGAGGTTGTGAGTTTGAATCCCGCACGTGGTAGGTGCGCATGACTCAAATCTTAATTGACTATGATTGTCAGTTCTCCTACCGAAGGTGGGTGGTTACCTCTGGCTTCCTCCACCAATAAAAACTGACCACCACGAAATAGCACAATAGAACTGAAAGTGGAACTAAACACCAATCAATCAATCAATCAATGAGGCCAAAAACATTATTATCCCTAATCCCTAAGTTCTTTCTTTTTTTACTTGTCAGTATCATACTGTAAAATGGTAAAAACGACATACTAATGCTATCCATGTTTTGTTCTAATCAGAGTGTTTAGGTGAACTATGTTATATTGGTTTATTTAATTTTCCATGCATGGTATTAACTAATCATGGATTGAGAAAATATTGTGCTCTCATGAATGCTTGATTTTGTGTCTACTGGACAGTTGTATTTTATTGTACACATTATTTAAGTTGAAATTCATCTACTCACATGAAATCAACAGAGATTTCTAAAGAGAAGTAAATGTTGAAATCAAAACTGTTATATCTTCAGTGCAGCAAATCCTTGAATAACTCTTCATAATACATATAAATCCTACCTGCTCTGAAACACCAACTGTCAAAAGATTTCAATAACACACAATTACCTAAGCAATGTCTCTATAAGTCTCGGTCTGTTTGTATTTTTCCAGTCCCCGTGTCCTAGACATCCAGAGCTACCATCACCACAAGTCAGCACTATACCATTGTCACTGGCAAATACACTGAACCCATCTCCACAGTAAGCTCTGTTAAATAATAATAATTATGTTGTAACAGAGAGTTGTCTCCACTGTATGCAATTTTGTCCCCCAATTTTTGACAATTTTACCTATTGTGTCTGTTTGTTTTGCTCACACATTGTTTTCTATATAATGGCATTATATGCGACTGTCATACAAGTGAAAGGTTTAGCTAGTTATGCAACCAGGTTTAATCAACCATTTTCTACATAAGGAAATGCATGTACCAAGTCAGGAATATGACAGTTGTCTTCCATTCATTTGATGTGTTTGAGCTTTTGATTTTGCCATTTAATAAGGGACTTTCGGTTTTGAATTTTCCTTAGAGTATTTTTGTAATTTTACTTTTCTGATAGTAAAATGCAAATGCTGAAACTAATTATGTAAACTATTCAAAACATTCACAGTCATGAAACCATGACTGAAGGTGCAGGGCCAAATATTTTCTGCGGCAATGAGATCTGCAAATGCTAATACAACTGCATAATAATTACCACTGACTTATCATAAGTGGATCGCCATAAACTGACCTAAGCACAAACTAGCATGTACAGTAAACAAAAGTTTCAGAGTAATAGACCTTAACTGAGGGGGCGGAAATAAATAAACTCCATTGAAATGAGAGGTACCAATGCTAATATATCTGCATGTCGAATATCTACCAGTATTGGTTCCCTATAGGCCTTAAACTGACCTAATCACAAACTATTACAATACTGATGCCACCTTCTGAAACAGCACACTGAAGTCCTACCTAGGCAATTTCATCTAGGCAAGACAAAAATCAGGATGTTGTTATAGTATATAAAAAAGCACACTGTGGATTCATTATTATTTGTTGGTTACCAAATGTTCATGGATTTTCTGTGTAAACCACTAATTTAAATGTTCAATGAAGTACACAGTTTCTAAAGGCTTGTATACAGTTGACTTTGGCAAATCCACGATAATACTGTTTTACTCAATCCACGAATATAAATGAATCCACTTTAGTTTATTAATACCTAACTAACAAGCTTTCTATGCGGCATGGGTTTTGCTCATTGTTGAAGACGGTACAGTGACCTGTAGTTGTTAACTTCTATGTCATTTGGTCTCTGGTGGAGAGTTGTCTCATTGGCAATCCTACCACATCTTCTTATTTTTATATCACATCCAGAATTAAAAGTAGCTATCAATGGTATTTTTACCTCGATATTGATTTCCCAGTAAGACCTTCAATTAGAGCAGGCTTCTCTCTATCTTCTGTATCATCATGACCTAGCTGACCTCTACGACCTTTACCCCATGAGAATACTCTTTTTTCTGTGGATATTACAATTACATGATCTTCTCCAGTTGCTGCCTGAAAAAGAAAATTCATTTTTACCTTAACATAATTTTATTTGCATGTATTCATCTGAGCAAATGTGGAGTAGAATCTGCTTACCTTTCTGGAGCATCTGGGATCACCCCTAGTGTTTAGAGGAGTTTGTGATGCTCAGTCTTTGTAGTTTTCTATGTTATGTTTTGAAGGTTTTTGTTCGTCTTTTGGTAGTTTATTGTTTTTTGCCATGGCATTATCAGTTTGTTCCTGACTTGAGAGTTTGAGTATTCCTTTGTTATCTCCCCCTTCTTTTTAGTTACACAGGGAAATTTCAGCTTATACTGTAAATTCAGAAATTATTGCATGCATTTATTATTGCGATTTAGTCATTTTAGACTAAAATGCGATTTTAATTTTTGCGATATTGAGAAAAATCCTGTTTAATTCATATAAAACAATTTCAAAATGCGTGTTTAAATTATTGCGATTATAACCCTGTCGCATTTTTCGCAATAATTTCTGAATTTACAGTACCTGAAACTCATGTGAACTGATTTCACATGAATTTCATGTGAATTTTTTTTCACGTGATTGAAATTCATGTGAATTTTCAAAATAAAGTTATTCAAATAACATAACAATTTCCAAATTTAATTAAAATCATGAAAAATACCAACTTTTTTTTTGTAAAGTTCATGTGAAAAACGACATTTAAGCTCGTTGGTGAATTTCACTCAATGGGCCATACTTTGGAAATAGAAAAAAGCTTGTGAAATTATACCATAAATGATATACATTGGGAATTTTCTAAATTTTTGACAGTATCTCCTTATAACAAAATTTAAATCTGCTTAATAAATTGCTGTTGAAGACTATGTTGATACAAATTTGCAATCTTTAGATGTTATTTGTAAAATGTTTTATCAAAGGACACCAACCAGTACCAAAATGAATTACTTTATACAATATTAGAACTTTAAGCGCACACATAAAGCTGTGATAAATTAGTAAAGATTGAAAGAAGTTATGATATGAATTTTTAGGGGAAATTGGCACTACCTCTTTACTTTACACAATAATCACAATCACATGACATGTCCATTGTTTGTATCAGTGAATTGATGAAAATTTCTATAATCTTTCAAAGAATGACGATCGATGGTAATTAATATAGCTGTACTTAATATATCTCTATATCAATAAAATTAATAAAAATGACATCATATATATTAATAAAATTGAATAAAGATTCAATTAATGTAATCATAAAAATATTTCTAATAGAGAACAGTTTTTGTGCTTTTGAATATGTAAATATTAATTGCAATTCTTTTTTAATATGTGACTTCTGTGGATTCATTATAATTTGTCCGATATCAATTTGCATGGATTTAATGGGTATGGTCATATAAAACCAGGAATTTAAACATTCAACAAAATATGAAATATATATATAGGCTTGTATGTTGACTTGCGCAAAAGCATTAAATCAAATATCAATAAAAATACAATTTTTTCTCAATCCATGAAAAATGGTACCCACCATAAAAAATGAATTCATAGTATCTGATATATAGAGAATATCATATGGCTTTTTCACTATCAGCTATGCTCGAGGGATTATATTGCTTGAGGGTTGATACGATGTGTGATATTGAAAAAGCCGTATCATATACATATATACATGTACCCTAAGTATAACTAATTTAGATGTTTTTCTTGAGACATAAGGTAATACATATAAGGGGTTTGAAAAAGCCTTTGTAACCTGTGACTGATATCGATAACGTGACATCATACAGATAAGGGGTTTGACAAAGCCTTTCCAACCGTGACTGATATCGATATCATCACAGAAGACTGATACAGCACGATTGCCATTGAGTGTATTACACATACAACTTACTTGTCTTTACTACTAAGTATATAATAAAGAGATTTAATAGTAAATTAAATACCACAATTTTTTACACATTTCTACTCACATACAGATATATTAAAAAACTTACATGTATAATTTTGATTTTTGAAGGTAAGTCAACAGGAGTAATGGAAGCTGTACAGCATTCAAAATAATACAAAACTGACCTATAAATAAAATAAGATGATTAATTCAATTATAGTTTATTTTTTAAATTTAAAAACAAAACAGGTGAATGTATAGGCAAATGACAAAATATTTGTGATTTTTAAGTACTCACAATTTTGAACTTAAAAAGTTTGAAAGGCTTACACTCAAACTATTTAAGGTAGATTCAAGGTATACCGCCATCTTGGATTGTACAATCTCAGTACAAAATCGGTCTAGTTATTTGCTAAAATCTGCAAATTTGGAGACATATTTGCAATTTTAAGGGTTAGACTGTTTATTTATATAAAGAAAACTTGGTGATTTATTGTATTATTCAAAATATTTAAACAAATATCAAATTTTGTGTTTTTAGAATCATTTTTTTCAAGTAAGCCATTTAAGGGGAGATAACTCTTAGTAAAAAAATTATACTGGACTGATAGGGAAATTTTTAATTTTTACCTGTAGCAAGAAAACAAGTTCGGTGACACCATTTTTTCTTTTTATTTTCTTAAAACATATTATAAAACCTATCTTCTTACAATTTATTTCAAAATTCTATCTCATAGAATTTTTGTTATGCACACAAATGTGTTTTTTCATGAACAATCAAACCAAATTTAGGCAATTTTCAATGACTCATTGCTTGGAAAATAGCACAGTGACCCATACTTTTTATTATATTTTTGAAAAAAGCATAGTAAAATCTTCCTTTTGGCAAAGTATAAGAAAATTCTATCTCAAAAAATATATACTTATAATCTACCTTAAGTGATTCTATCATTTTTTTTTTTAACTACTCTCATTCATAAACTATTGTTCTTACCAAGAAGATACTTGCCAAATTTTTTCTTGCAATGAGTAATCACACAGTTTTTGGTTTGGTTAGTATAGCTCAATATGCAATTTTCTGTGTAGTGTTTTCTAGGCCGTTGCTCATCTTTTTGACTTTTTGTTTTCACCATGGTTTTGTCCGTATACATTTGACTTATGGTTTTTAAATCAAATTAAAGATCCACAAAATGTCAAATTATCTCCATAAAAGGAATATTGATTACACTGTACCAATGAGAAAATGTTAGTTTTCAAAATCTTTCATGTGCTTTGTAATTTCACGGTCTCTAATTTTTCACTCTGTTTTATACAGTATACTGAACAAAATAGTGTACTTTCTTTTTCATTTTTCTTTCGTGTCCCTTACAGGATTGATGCATGCAATATGTCATCAATGTTAAAACATTACTTTACTCTTAGTACCCAATCACTGCAACTTCAATCTTGTGATATGACACTGAAACTTTGTTAGAAAATGTACAATTTGTCATGCAAGTAAACACAACACAATATAAAAATAAAAGTGAAACAAAAGCAAAATAGCAAAATAAACAATGAATGTCCAAACAACAAAATCAGTTTTAATTTATGTTTTCATTTTTTTAAAGCTGTTTATTAAGCGAATCAGTTACTCTGTAAATAAAGAAAAGTTTAAGTTGACATTTAGCTGTTCAGATATTGGTAGAAACCTCCAAATATTGAAATGTTCATAAAAAATTTAAATAGTAAAATAAGGGGACAATTTTGATTTTCTTGAGGCCAAGAGTATTCTTTCCAGATATATTATGTTAATCCTGTTTAAAAATTATTCTAAGTCACTTTTACTTTTTACTGATTTAATTTGCCTGTTTGAACATCATTGATACATAATTAGATGAGCACAACATGCCAACATGCCAGATTACACAACAATCAGATACCTTGTATCCAAGGAACTGCATGTTATAAAAATAAATATTTACTACTATATACACTTGTAAAAAGTACAGTGTCTGCATGTTTGGTTTAACTACTAAGACCATATATATATATATATATGTGTTGAACAATTTCTTGAAAGTCTGAAATTCTAAGGACTTTTTTAGAATAAATACTCAGTAGGCTGGGAGCTCCTCTTTATTTTTTTAATATAAGTGGTGATATCAACCATCTTCACTGATTCTAGGAATTACAGTAAACTATTTAAATTTCTTTGGTGGTACTAAAAAATAAGATTCTAGTTACGACCAAGAGACCACTGATCTAATTTTATCAAAGCTGCTTTAAAAATGTTGAGTATTGTAAACAAAAATTAATCAGGTGGAAATCATGTAAAGTCATCTGTTTCATTTATGTAAACACATTGCTTTATTTCAAATGTAAGTGTGGATGTTTGGAAATCACAAAAATTAAAAAATTAAAAAAAACAAAACCAGAAAAATAAATGCCTTAGAACACTTGTAAATATAAAAGAAATATGTTTATTTGTAATGTAGGTCATGTTGACCAAATTAATTCTAAACTGTTCAGTGTACAATTTCAGTAAATTCCGCATACAAATAATGGAACCAAAATTCAAAATGCCAGTTTTTTTTTATCCATATTGCATAGCAGTTTTTGAGTTAATGAAATAAATCCAAAATTTCTGATTTTACTGTATTACACATCTTACTCTATATGAGTCAAGGCATCATCCCAAGGCATTAACAGAGGACCTGATACAAAGTTGAGGGATGATATGTGTTTTATGTCTAATATGCCCACCTTGTTTTCTTTTTGGACCGACTTTCACTCAAACTGTTTTGTTGAGATGAATCTTCATCTGTTTGGGATTCTTCATATTTATGCATCAACTGTTAATAAACTCATCATGAATACATAGTGAAAATATATTTCTGTAGGTAAAAGTTATCTTGCCTTGCTTCCTATGTTACTCGTAAATTGAAATGCAAGTAACAATTAAATAATTTTATGTGTTTGAAGCGCTTTACTGAATTTAGCTTTGTTAGGAACACTAAAAGCCAAATATTTTAAACCAAAGATACTTCCCAAATACTAAAATATCAAAGATTTTTCTCAGCAAAAAATCAGAAACCTATAATTTAACCATGTTAACATAGTTTTATTCCATGATTTCTGATTTTCAAGGCCTGGTGACAATTAATATTTCATATCTTTCTGAATGTGTGATTTTAGACTGATATAGAATTAATGTAAAATAATATGCATTAAGTTTGTAATAAATAGGACAAGGGTCAGTCAATACTACCAATTTTAACTCCATAATTAAATTTGAAAAGTGCAGTTATTGTTCGTGATTTTAACATAACACTCACTCATCTTTTGATTGATTGCTGTTTGCTTAAGGTACAGTGGCAAATATGTCACACATATTTAGGACAACTCATCTTTATCAAAAAGTCATAAGTATTCCAATTAAAATGAAAGAGTCACCCGTCTGTGAAAAAATTTATTTCATACTTTAATGATTCATTTATTGAACAAGCCTTTTGAAAAAACTTTATCTATCATCTGTAACTTTCTGTACTTGAAATGAAATGACCAAGTTTTTTTTTATCTCCTTCATTCCTACAACTTAAATGCTATAAAAATTCATATAATTAATAAATCTATACATAATATTCAATAAGTTTGATATTCATTGCTTACCTCAGGAATCCTGATATTTAATATCTCACAAGCTGAAGGTCTAAGATCAGGGTCTTGTTTTAACATATCCATGATCAGATCCTTTAATTCCTGGCTATAGTTCCCCTTCACGGGTGCAAACTGGCCCTGCAAATATTTTAAACATTCATATCTATTTCATTTTAGATAAAAGTTATGTTTTATTCTAAATAACAAATGAGGCATAAAGTAAATTTGAAAGTTTTAATTGACTACTATCACTTCAAAAATTAACTGGAAAAATAATGTCAACTTCCTGCCAATATCTATTTGAACTGCAATGTTAATACTAACTTGCTTATTGAATTATATATTTTTTTTTCTTATTTGTCAATTATCTAAAATGACAACTAAAGGGTCAAAGTGCATATGAATATTAATTAAGGACTTGGTGCCGCTCTCCACCACCTCCCTTTTTCAGAATCCTGGATCTGAAACTGATACTGTAGACAGGTGCTTATACAGTAGGCATGTTTACATTTGTCTCTTTTTTACTTTTTTTAAGTAGCAAAATATTTCTTACCTTCATTATTTTGTTGACTAAGGCAGGCAGATTGGATCCTTCAAATGTTTTCTGCAAACAAGCCATCTCATACAATATACAACCAAGGGCCCAGATATCTGATTTGTCATAATACTGCTTTCCTTCACACTGTAAATAAAGATATGAACACTTATGTTTGAAATAAATATTCAGTCAATATAATTAATTTCATGTAATAAGTTAAATGGAATAATACAGCCCTCCCCATTATTGATCTCTCCTACTGGCAAAGGCCTCAAGTTCTAACACACAAAAACAACTCTTCACGAATACTTGATTTTGATTTGTGGAATGTGGGAGAGGTGACCAATCAGCAGTCAGCTCTATTTTATTGAGATAGATAAATCCAATGCTTATTCCAAATGATTTATTGGTGATTTATCATGTCAAGGCATTCAGACGTTAATGTAGCAATCGTAGAGCAGCGAAATGTAACGACTGAATTATTCAGGTTAGTAATTAACGTATTTACCAGTATATATCTACATGTGTAAAAATTAACTTATCCCATTATCATAAAGAATGAAAACATCCTTTCCTGATATCCTGAATCAAATTAAATATATTGGTAGGTGCTAGTATTCTCTCTGACGAAACCTTTTACACAGACTAATGAAAACTATATATTGTGCATAGTTTGGGTTAAAAATAAGTGCTTCAAAAAGCCCTTCTATGCAATTAAATTATGCAGCTTTTTGCAAGAATACGTGTAGAAAATACCCCTCATTGAATTCCAATTGAGCCCACAAATTCTTTCAGCAAAACAATATTCTCCAGAACATATTCAGATTTGTGTTTATTTGTTGAAGGCTGAACAGTGACCTTTGGACTCTGGTAGAATGTAGATAGTTGTCTCATTGGCAATCCAGACCTGCCAACTATCTCCATTTATGGGGGGATATCCCCCCAATGAGAGGTGTTGACAAGAATTTTAAAATTCTTTATTATATAAACTGAACACTACAAAACAGGCATTCAAATGAGTTAAAAGGGCATTTAAGCACACACATATTCATTCAAACAATATAGTAGTACATAAAAAAATTCGTAAGGGTTCCGCGGAACCCAGTGTCTCGCATACTTCTGCTGTTAATCACCGGCTCAACAAAAATGAGGAAAAAAATTAATAAAAATATTCCTCTCTATACTATCTTTTGATTGTAAGTAGCTTCTGTCCAAGTTTGGTAAAAATCCAGGATAGTTTATGAATCTAATAAATGTTTTAAAATAAAAACTTAAACTGCAGACTGTTATGTAATGTTAACTGGAAGAAAAACTAAGTCCATTTATAAGTAAAATACGGAAAAAATGGAACAAAATTTTAACAAAATTTCCTTTAAGATACTAGCTTTTAATCATAAACAAGCTTCTGTCTAAGTTTGGTACAAATCCAGGATAGTTTAAGAAAGTTGTTAAAATTTTAAAAACTTTAACCACAGAGTGAATGTAATGTTAACTGGCAGAAAAACTAAGTCCATTTATAAGTAAAATACGAAAAAAATGGAATTCTTTTTTTACAAAATTTACTTCTGGATACTATCTTATGATCACAAACAAGCTTCTTTCCAAGTTTGGTACAAATCCAGGATAGTTTAAGAAAGTTATTAAAATTTCAAAAACTTTAACCACAGAGTGAATGTAATGTTTCCTGGCAGAAAAACTAAGTCCATTTATAAGTAAAATACGGTAAAAATGGAATTTTTTTTTTACAAAATTTACTTTTGAATATTATTTTATGATCATAAACAAGCTTCTGTCCAAGTTTGGTAGAAATCCAGGGTAGTTTAAGAAAGTTATTAAAATTTCAAAAACTTTAACCACAGAGTGAATATTTGTGGACGCCGCCGCCGCCGCCGACAGAATTTAGGATCGCTATGTCTCGCTTTTTCGACAAAAGTCGAAGGCTCGACAAAAACACTAATAACAATCTAAGAGGAGCATTAGGTCCTCTTGGGCTTAAAATACCCAAAGCAGATTTTGAAAAGTTGGCAGGTATGGCAATCATATCACATATCTTTATTTTATATTATGTGTGCACTAGTGTTAAACAAGAACTTACCATTTCAGGACTGATATAGTAAGGTGTGCCAAGCACAGTGTTAGCTCCCTTGTTGGCAGAACTCATCATTTTAGAAATACCAAAATCCCCAATCTTTACTATACCTTCTTTGGTGAGAAATATGTTGGCTGTTTTTAAGTCTCTGAAATCATAATATAAAAATGTTGGTTGTGTGTAGAACTCAAGCTTACATTACAGATGTATTTGAGCTCCATCTTTGTATAAAAACTTTCTGAAACACTTTTGATATTAAAAAACACCTATTTACCTCTACTTTTCAAAATCCATGGAATTTATCTTAGTTATTCAAAAGTTGTATATAAAGGCTGTTTTCTTTTTCTATTGAATTATTCATACAATGTTCAAACTTAAATACAGGAGCATAATTGATGTTTACTGTTCATCAAAATATACTTTTTGATACAACATTGACTGAGCGTATCAAAGCTCCTAGTGAACTATAAATAGAAGCAATACTAATCTTCTAAATAAAATTGGTTATTAAGATGATGCTTTTGTGTGTTATATATATATTAATTATCTCAATAATTTTTTCTTGGAGAATTTGGTGTTGATTGCACTTCTTTGTCAGTCTCTGTATAATTTTTTCTCAAATATTTAACATGAGGTGATTTAGAGATTGAAATATTGTGAAGAGACCCGGGTTCAAGTTCATAAAAACTTTACTTAGAACTCAGAGTACAAAATTTGAACTCAAAACACTAAATCCAGTATATATGATTGGCTGAATTCTGAGTGTGAGTATGAAAATCATGCTCAAAACTTGTATGATCGCAAGGCCTGAACAGCTGAAGACACTGTGCTAACCTTTAATTGTCTTTAGGATAAGTTTCTTTGGGTTGCTGTCTCATTGTCATATATTTCACATTTCCTTTCATTAAAATTTCATGAGATATGCTTAAAAAGTTTTCTAATTTTAACTTACCTATGTAGTATATTTTGCTCATGTATATGTTTAATGGCTGAGACGATTTGTTGGAACATGACCAGGATCTCTCTCTCTTCTAGAGGTTTATCTCTCTGTGACAAATACTGGGATAAAGTTCTGAAAATGCATAATAGTTTAATCAATAATTTGCAGATTAGCAATCATTTTTTTAAGGTAAACTACAGTATATGGTGATGTGTTTGTAGACTGATACATGATAAAGATTTATGATATTGAAAAGGCTTTCCATCTTTAATCATGGAAAAACTAATAGTGTTACTTCATAAAGCTATGTATGACAATCCTTTCCATTGTTTGCATTTTTCTACACTCTTATTTACAAAAGAGATAATTTCAAATCAGTCAAGTTAACTTTAAAATGTTTACACTATTTCATAATTTTTTCAAAAGAAATATTAGTCTATGATATCTTTTACATATTTGAAAATGTGGATTTTTCATAAATTTATAATTTTGTTGATTGTCTCATTTGCTTTACATTAGGGCTATTTCATTTAAAATTAGATGGAAGGACAGGAACGGTCTTCCAAAATCCTTCCACAACCAACATACTTTCTTTTCTTTAATTTTGCTAACATCAAATGAACAAAATACCATAAATGTCCCATGTCCCATGTCCAAAAATAAAACTTTCCTTCCTACCTTCCCTCATATATTTAAATGGAATAGCCCTTAATGACATTATCCCCCCACTAGTATAATGTACTCACCCTCCATCTGCATATTCTATTTCAATCATTAATACACCATCTTCTTCAAAACTGTCATAATAACTGACTATGTTGGGGTGCATCAACATGGCTAAAATGCTGACCTATACAAAAACAGGTATTACATTAGTCTTTCAATTACTGTAGATTCATTAATATTCGTGGGTACCAAATTTCGTGGCTCAAGGACAGATTGTATTTTCCTGGATACTTGATTTCATAGTTTTATGAAAGTATGCATACATGTCTACAGGGAAACAGTACCGGGTACTTCATTGAACACATATATTCGTTGTTTGCCTATCCCTTAGAAATCAACAAAACCTGGTTCTCCAAAAATAACAATAAATCCAGAGTAGAAGATATATAACAAAAATAGTGCAAAAATATAGATATGTAACAGTATTATTGTCAGGTGAGGATTGGGCTCCCACAAACATGTTTAACCCAGCCACATTCTGTATGTGTCTTTCCAAAGCCTGTCATTTAGTGGCCGTGATTTGTTGCTGTATATGATATTTGTTTTTCTTTTATTGTTTTGTACATAAAACATGCAATTAGTTTTCTCAATTGAAATGTTTTACATTTGTCATGTCTGAGCTTTTTATAGCTTGCTATAGGGTATGGTTTGTCTTATTGTTGAAGGTTGTACTGTTACCTATAGTTGCTAACTTCTTTGTCATTTGGTCTCTGGTGGAAAGTTGTCTCATTGGCAATCATACCACATCTTCATATTTCTATATTTATAATGTAGGTGTCAAATTCTATGCTACGTAGATTAATGAAGCCATTACAATAACCAAACTTAATTATAATATTACAAATTAGGATGTCAATCAACATTAGTATTTTTTTTTACCATTGACCGTTTGCTGCATGTATATGAACAATGTGGAAATATAATGTTGACTTATAAGAAAGGGAGGGGGGGGGGGCTAATAATTCTACTCTTATGTTGCTTATACATAATTGGTAACATAGTAAGTAAACCAACCAATAAAAGATCAGCAGCTATTTAAAAAAAAAATCCCAAATTAAACTAATAGTAAGTTTTAATAAAATATTAATGACTAACAATTATTTTTTCTAGTACGATTTTTTTCTGAAATTGGTTGCAGTATCTGGGAATATAACTTTTTTCAACTCAAGTTGATGTAGAGTTTTACATATCGTATGTGTGTTTGTTGCTTATTTGTGTCCTTGGGTTGCTACCTCATAAATGCATACCATAAATCTCTGTTTTTCAATTTTGAAAGTCACAGTATTACCTCATTCAGTGCAAGTTGTCTCTCAGCAGCATTTAAATCATGCATATTTATTTCCTTCAGTATAACCAGAGAGTCATCATCTTTCTTTCTGTACAATACCGCGGCACCATAAGCCCCTGCAATATATAAATCTTGTTTATCCTTCTCTCAAGCTCAACCCTGTTTTACGAGGGTTACTATTGATTCATTTATTTTCCTGGGTACCAATTTTTCAGGGATTAAGTTGTATTTTCTAGAATATTTGATTTTGTGGTTTTAAAAAGTCCACATTAAAGCCAAAAAAAATTATAACTGGTTCAACATTCAAATTTGTGGTTCACCTGTACTCATGAAACCAATGAAAATTGGTATCCCATGAATAATAATAAATCCACAGTAATATGGGCAAGTTTTTTTTATTGTATGTATATCACACATGATTTTTTTTTTCTCTAGTTTTCTTTTTTGTTTGATTGTTATATGCGCTTATATATAATATATGCTTATTGGTGCAATCTTCTTTTGTGGAGTAAATATTATATTTTCATTCCAAACTCATAAATTTGGCATTGAAATTATAATTTTGACCTTACTTTCATGAAATGTTCATCTGATTAGCTCCTGATGTTGTACACATTTGTTTCACTCCAAATTTGACTTGAATTTCAGACTTGCTGTCTGCTGTGCATATGAGCACAATTTATTTCTTGATCTTTTTTCTTGCATTACAAGATATCTCAAGTTTTATATTATACAATGGAATATTATAAGGTTTTTAAGTTCTATCCACACTGGCTAAATCCACATAAAATTTGACAGACAAATCACAAACCTTTGCCAACTGTTTGGATTTTCTCAAAACCAGCCATAGACTGTTGTTGTCTGGTCCAGCCCTTTAGTCTATCAAGCTTGAAGTACAATTCACCCACACTGGCACTAAAATATACAACTTAATTTTGTATCTCATACAAATACAAAAATGTACATGAACTATAAATTCTGAAATTTTTGTGACATTTATATTATTTGAAAGATTGGGACAGCTTTTGCCCGAATACAGTCTTGCATTTTGAATTTTTATAGAATTATTTGTAAACAGTTTAATATTATATAAACTGTAATTATAATAATAACAACAAGAGTAATGATTATAACAATTAGAACTATGAATGACTTAATTGTTACCTTAAGTTTTTTGTACTTCCATCCTTCTGTCCTGTGTCTGTCCCCAAAATATCTCTGTACATTCCAACAGAAATCTGAGTAAAAACAAATAAATTTCAGTACAATTTACTCTAACCTTAATTGAAAATTCTGTAATATATGGACTAGTTATGGTGATGCAAAAAATTTAACAAGCATTCAAAATGTTCTATCTGTACACAATGCTTGTCAAAGTTTCATTGACTGGACCACAATATGATTTTAACTGATGTTGGATGTCATGTCTTTTTTCTGGGCTTATTGTTAACTATTGGTTATTGAACAGTAAATCAGTTGGTCATGATGGTAGTGTTGGCATTATGTCAATTGTCAATTGTCAAACATTTTCCCTGTCAATAAAAAGTATAGTAGATTCAAAACTATTATTTGCCTTGCAAAAAGTAAATTAACAAAAATTCCAAACTCCGAGGAAAATTCGAAACGGAAAGCCCCTAATTTGAATATAACTAGAGGCTCTCAAGAGCCGGTGTCGCTCACCTGTATTTATTGATGCTTTGGAAATCATGTAAAATAAGGTTAAAATCATAATTAATAGTATTAGATATTATAATGATATCTAAGATAATAACAAAAAACTGCAAAATTTTTGTAAAATTTTTAACTCAGGGGTAGCAACCCAACAACGGGTTGTTGGATGCGTCTGAAAATTTCAGGGCAGATAAATCTGAATCTGATGAACATTTTTGCTACCTGTCAAATTTGCTCTAAATGCTTTAGTTTCAGAGATATAAACCAAAAACTGCATTTTACCCCTATGTTCTATTTTTAACCAAGTTGGCCATGATGGTTGGAAGGCGGGGTCATCGGACAAATTTTTTAAACCAGATACCCAAAAAATGATTATGGCCAAGTATGATTAAATTTGTCTCAGTAGTTTAAGAGAAGAAGATTTTTGTAAATGATTACAAAAATTTACGAAAAATTGTTAAAAATTGACTATTAAGGGCAATAACTCTTAAAGGGGTCGACTGACAATTTTGGTCATCCACAACTTATTTGTAGATCTTACTTTGCTGAACATTATTGCTGTTTACAGTTTATCTCTATCTATAATAATATTCAAGATAATAACCAAAAACTGCAAAATTTCCTTAAAATTACCAATTCAGGGGCAGCAACCCAACAACAGGTTGTCAGATTTGTCTGAAAATTTCAGGGCAGATAGATCTTGACCTGATAATCAGTTTTACCCTATGTCAGATTTACTCTAAATGCTTTGGTTTCAGAGATATAAGCCAAAATCTACATTTTACCCCTATGTTCTATTTTTAGCCATGGTGGCCATCTTGCTTGGTTGGCGGGGTCATCAGACACATTTTTTAAACTAGATACCCTAATGATGATTGTGGCCAAGTTTGATTAAATTTGGCCCAGTGGTTTCAGAGGAAAAGATTTTTGTAAAAAGCTAATGACGACGGACGCTGACGACGCCGACAGACGACAGACACCAAGTGATGAGAAAAGCTCACTTGGCCCTTTGGGCCTGGTGAGCTAAAAAAGAAGATGTGGTACGATTGCCAATGAGACAACTCTCCACAAGAGACCAAATGACACAGAAATTAACAACTATAGGTCACCGTACGGCCTTCAACAATGAGCAAAGCCCATACCGCACAGTCAGCTATAAAAGGCCCCGAAATGACAATGTAAAACAATTCAAACAAGAAAACTAACTGCCTAATTTATGTACAAAAAATGAACGAAAAACAAGCATGTAACACATAAACATACGACAACCACTGAATTAAAGGCTCCTGACTTGGGACAGGCACATACATACAGAATGTGGTGGGGTTAAACATGAAGTCTAGCAAAGGTCTTCCTAGAGATGTTTTTGTTTGTATTTTTTTTCTTTCTCACAGCATATGGTATCATCAGACATTATCACTTAATTAATTGAACTAACCTGAAGCAATTTCTCAAGTTCTTTGACTAATATCATGCTGTCTGTGTAGATGTAACTCATGGCATGACAGGCTAAGAAATCCAATTTGGAGTTATCTCCCTCTGTATAACTCTCCTTTAGCTTGGTGAAAAAATCTTGAATTTGTGTCTCAGCAAATGTATCTTATTCAATATCTGAATAATCATGATAATTAAGCATTTTAAATTTGAACAACTGAATATATTTAAGATACATTTTGTAATTAATCTATGAGTTGAACAACTTCAAGTAACTTAGTTTGAATAAACTAAATTTAGTGCTGGTTGACCAAATGGCATATCTGACCTTAAATGTTTTCCATTTTGATGCTTATTGACAAAAATACCAGAAAATGTTTTTTTTTCTTCAATGGGGACAAACTTGAAGTTGGTGTTTTATAAATATTGTACAAGATTTATAATTACTAATAATACAGTAATAATGGCTACTTAAGATGCAGCTTCTTAACAATACATGTATATTAAGAGAATGGAAATAATGACTCTATCAATTGTTTATTTTGGATTTCAGTAAAAACAGCAAATTTATCCAATACAACCTTATCTTGTGTAACGTCATGAGCTTAAGGAAAGATGTCTTTTTTAGTTTGATAAATGTATTAAGAAAGCCAAAGGAAGTACATCAATAAAAGTGACGTCACAATTGAGTGTCATGCTATACTGTATGTCTACGTCCCACTAGTGAGACTTTCAACTTCGCTTCCAATATTCCATTTGTTCAAGGAACATATCTGTTGTATATTGGCATAATCTTAAAAAAAGAAAGCAAATGAAGTACATGAACAACAATGATGTTTCAATATGTCTAGTAAGTGGAATTCACAAGAAGCTTCAGGCTCTTGCTAGAATGATACTTTGTCAAGTTCCTTTCCATATTACCAGAGGTTTATTACCAGAGGTTTATTACCAGAGGTCCATTACCAGGCAAATGACTTCAGATGTTACTTAATCATAGAAGCCTTGTCAGTGGTGCCATAACAACAACAGTTACTTACTGTTTCATCCTTTCCTGTAATCTGTATTGATGACCCCACACAACTCATCACCATAGCAATACTTTCTACTTTCCTCACTTTCAATGTGTTGTTTATTAAATCTGTATAAAGAAAAAACTCTAGGCTCAATAAAGTTGATGGATTGGTTGTTGTTTGCTAAAGGTCCAGTGGCAAATAGCTCATGCATTATCAGAACAAGGAACAAATTAACAATTAATTTAATATCTCACCCAAGATAAAAGATCTTACAGCTTTTAAACAAATCATCGAATTAGTTTATATTAATAATGTTTCTTTAAAGTTTTGATCTTGTATATTGTCAACCAGTTATGTGCAAGCACCTCTATTACTTAACTAAATAAAATTTAGTTGGTATAATCAAGTAAAATTTGTTTATAGTTAATCAACTGATTGTTGCTTTTAAGCCATATTTTGAGACGTTTCAGCCACTAGTAGTAATTAAACCATTCTATACATCTTAATGATTGTGAAAGTGACATTTTTACCAAGCAGTTTAGAAGGATAATAACGAAACTGAAGGCCAGTAGGCAAAATGTCTTAAAAAATAGATTAATTACTACAATAAAATAAAATCTAAATTTTGTTATTTCTGAAATTGTTGACTAGGCAACCTTTAACAAATTGTTTGATGTTGTCATCCATGCCTTGTAGGGTTGGGTAGGTAGGTAGGTAGGTAGGGATTTTATTTTGTTTTGGTCAACGCCATAAAGACATAACATGTTTTAGACAAGAAAACGACATTAGAGCACAAAAAAAACTTTAAAAACAAATTTGAAAGTGATTTGTGTCATAATTATTTTTAGATAGGCTGCTTTTTAGGTGAGTAGTTGGCAACATCAAACAATTGCAATTTTGATTTTGGCCCTAGGATGAAGAGCTGGGTGTGAATAGTTTTGCATGGTAAAAGTTCTCTTGAAACTTGAAAAATCTTGAGAAACAACATACTTTGCAGGGAGTCCAATGAAGCAGACTCATACTTATACTGTACAAAAACAACATTAGGCAGGATGGCTGTTCTGAATGCATTGCTGTTCCGAATTTTACTGGAGACGATGAGCAGTCGAACAGGAGTCCCAGCTGTGACTCCACTACCCACATGTGCACCCCCATCAGTCTCTATTAAAATAGGTTCCTCCTGGTATCTAACAGTTGGTTCCTGGGCAGGGATTACTGGCAGTGGGGCTGCAGATAGTTCCTGTAAAAAGTTAGAAAAATGTATAAACCAAAAGTACAGATCATTTTGTTTAAATATATACATTGTACAAACTTCATTTGTTTCAATAATTTTATTTTCATGGCTTATAAAAAATATTCAAATTTTGTCGTGTTTATCAGATTTGTCAAGTCCTTGGCTGCTGTCAGGCTGTTTGTTTTCTCTTTTTAATTGTTTCACATTTTGTCATGCCAGGGCCTTTTACAGCTTAAATTGCTACACAGTATTGGTTTTGCTTATTGTTGAAGGCCCAAATGTGAGGTATAGTTGTTTACATCCTCCCTCATCATTGATCACTGGTGAATAGTTGTCTCATTGCATATTTAATCATAAAACATAAAACATTCTCCTTATTTTGATAAAAATCATTTTTATTTTTTCGCTAGTTGTACATCAGTTTATATTTCTTTTGTGCTATTTGTTAAGAAGATAACTTTCAGTAAACATACCTTTTATTATGAGAAACTATTCATAACTATTCTAAGACAAAGTTAAAATTCAAACAATATTATCAATACTCCTTAAAATCTTGTAATTTTACCTGAGGAAGAATTTTAGATCCATTGTAGTTAAGGGGAGGTAACTGTACTCGAGAGGTTGCATCTTCACAAGCCTTCACAGCTGCCTTGATATTATGTAAAGATTTACAACCATTATCATGTAAAGAACTAGCTGTCCTGGTTGGTGAGGTGCCGCTGACTAACTGGAAGTCATCCTTACTTGTATTGCAAGACTCATTAGGTCTGATGTCCATGATTACTAAGGCATATCATAACTATAGTTTCTCTGTTCCTCCATTTTCTCTTTCAGTTCCAGAATTATGTGGTTAACGATTAGTTTAAAACATAAAGTTTCATAAATGTTTTAGTTTTATAAAGGACAATTCACTTGTCATGCTTGTATCATCATAATCATCCCACAAGTCCTTTGAATAAATAAAATAGATATAATTTGATAATCTCTAATTATTTAAAGTCTTCTCTTTACTATAAACATGAAAAATCAACAGGAAACACAATTACTTCCCCTTTTACATGCTTTAGTATTGATAGTAAAACATCTTCATGATCAGACTGTTTAAACTTTCCTCATCATTTAAATGATTGTAGAACTCTTTGTTCAAAATAATTAGAATAAATAAAAAATGAAATAATCCTCAAAACTTCTCCAGGTTGGAGGGAATTAGAAGTTCAATGACATAATCTCCACATCATTTAGATCTGTGAAAATAAAAGTAAAAACATTCAAATGTTACACATTATTGAACTACAAATACATGTAGTTGGGATAAAATTTCAAAATTATTTCTGGTTAAAAAAATAACTTTTTCTTCTATTATTACCAGTTTTACAAATAAACAAAAAAAGACTGCTGTAAGAAGCAATTGTTATTTCAACATGTTCAACTTTTATAAACCATATGTATTTTTTGTTACAACAAGAGAACACACGCTGAAATGTCTTGCCTGCTTTACTGACCATTTATTTTATGTTGAAAGTCTTCAAGAAAAAGGTTTTACTACAAGTATCACACAAACTTAACATTTTAAAATATCCATGACAATGAAGTCAAGGTCAGATAAATCCTGTCAGACATGACATGTATACATCTTACAATTATTCCATGCACCAAATATAGCTGACCTATTGCTTATCATGCTTATGGTAATTGAAAAACAGACCAAAACACAAAAACTTAACATTGTTCAATGAACCATGTAATTGAGGTCAAAGTTAGATTATACCTGCCAGATAAATTTGACCTACTGCTTATAGTATCTGAGAAATGACCTAATCATGTAAATTTAACCTTGATCACTGATCCATGAAATGAGGTCGATGTCAGTTGAATCTGTCTGAGGGACATATATAGACATGATAGACGTTGCAATGAACCCAAATACCAAATTTAGTTATCCTACAATGTATTACATGTGTACTCATAAAAAGCAAGAAATTCTCATGACAAAAAAATTTTTTTTTCAAGCAGTCTCTGAGCCATGAAAATGAGGTCAAGGTCAATGGACATATTCAGATGGAAACCTCGTCACATAATCATTTTATGAACATTGTATCTGCATACCAGGTATGAAGCATCCAAGACTTCTTCCTTCATGACCATCAGGAATCTAAAGCTTTATACAAATAGTTTATACAGCAGCAGCTGGATAGAATAGAATAGAATAATGTTTTATTGCTAATCATAGCACCCAAAGCTGAGCTGAATAATTACACTAAATTTATATACAATGATTACAATGATTACAATGATTGTTTAAAACAATTGCAGATGAAAAAAAAATCACAAGGAAAACAATGCAAATAAATCCAAAAAAATAATTATCAAACTATTCAATTAAGACCAGCAATAAAAACCAGCTGGTATATTTAATAATATATTAGGTACAGTGACCCAGTTCTATAATACTGACAAGCTGGACCAAACTCACTGCCATTTCTAACTCTATATCATTGTAATAATCATGATATCATTGTAATAATCATGATAATAGATAACTATAATTTTATTTGAAAAAATAATCTATCGATTGACTATAGTACTTGTAGGAGTTCCTGTCTTTTTTTAAATAATAAGACAAGATATTCATTTAAAAGTTTAATAATCTTGGGATCCTCAGAGCTCATAAGCCAGCCTAATTTAAACTCACCAGCTAATGTTTTTATATTCGGCACCCTTTGTTTTATATACATGTATGCTAAAAATTTCCTGCTCTCTTCTATATATTTTGGACATGTCAGAAGTAAAAAGTGTATTTCATCTTCAATATTATCATGATGATTTTTACAAATTCAGCATTTTCTATCATTATCACATCTACATTTTTATATCTTCCTGCTTCTATTTCTAATTTACTTAGTCGAAATTTAGTAATCATATGTCTTTGTTCATTATTCAAATCTAAATAGGGTTCAAATTTAAATTGAGACTTAAACAGTCTTTATGTACACAATTCATTTTTCTTAAGTTATTACCATAGATTTCTTAAATCAGAAAATATTTTATTTTTCCAAATATGGTAATATTTTAATCTCAATGTGAAAACATTTTTTTTTTTTTATTTGAATTCTGATAATTTGTAAATATCTTTATCAAATGCCAGATGTAAAAAAATCAAAATTTGAGTGGATGTTTCCTAGCCATGATAATTTGTCCTGCTCATGTAACTCTAAGGATTCCTGCATTGATGCAGATAACAATGTATCACAATTTTTTTCTAGATGTTTCAAGTACTTTAACATATTATAAATTGTTTCATAAAAAAGTATCCTTTTCATGCTAAATTAATGTCTGGCATACTGCATATGGGCAAGACAAAAACTCTTAATTTCAAATTCATGCATATTCTTATACATTTCCTATGCGAAAAAACAATGCCAATGTTAATACCTCACACATAGAACTGATTATTCAACCTCAATGACAGTATTTATGCTGATTGAATACAGGACAGTACGTGTAACTCTTTCATAAAACACAATTTTGATTGGTCTGTACAGATTACAAAAATTTTTCTTATGAATTTAATCTGTGATGTCACAATAACCCTGTCATCTCCTATAAAAAAAGCTACGTATAAAAATCGCTTCATCCATAATTTGGTTTATGTATTCACAAATAGTTAATCAACCCTCCCCCTTTTTCAAAGTTTTAACTTTCAGCGTCAAAGGAGCCAAGTTTTTGTATAAATGACCCCTTCCACGTGAACTTTAGTAATAAAACTTACAGACTATAAACGTATTATACCGATTTCTCTTATATCTGTGTATAATTTTCATTCTTAAATTTGAACTTTTGGAAATTCCAAGGAAAACAAATGAGGAGACAACTCTGTCAAATTGTAATATACGAAACCGGTTCCGGACATCGTTTGCAACGTTATGGTTTTGGAATGTCAACTTAAACAAACTTATTCAGCACCTTCCAATAATTCAGTGTAAGAAAGCACAAATTAACAAATTTAAAGGTCAAGGCACAAGATTCTGAAAACGATATATTGTCACACATTTCATTTTTATAATCTCTTTCTTTCGTCGGTGAAAGAGATCATCACCAGATCTCATGTTTTCTCTGTAATTTACTAATTATGTGGGTTCGTGGTCTAGTGATTAAGATCGATGGCTATGTACAGTGCTGAAGGTCCAGAGTTTGATTCTGACTCGGGGCGCTGGAAATTTCAGTACATCACAAAGGTGATTTCACCCTCCCATACACTTCTCTGGTACCCAGATTTTCCTATCGAAGGTCGTGGTTTTCTCCGGGCACTCTGGCTTCCTCCACCAACAAAAACTGGCCGCCACGAAGTAGCCCAAAAGCAGTGCTTAAAAGTGGCGTTAAAACACCAAAAATCAAAATCAATCTGGTACCCAGATCGGAGTTTAAACTAGAATTGGTACTTTGGTGGCCTCGGTTGGTCAAAGTTGCCCCCTACTTTGACCTGGAGATCAATCTTCTGATATCTCTCAGGTTTGTTTGTTCCTGCCGAGTGTCCTGGTGGTTCTCTCTGAGTACTTCGGCTTCCTCCACCATAATAACAGACTTCCCGGTGTCCTATCACTCCCTTTGTATTGAGGTGGGGATTGTACTTGTAAGGAGTGTACACGCATTCCACTGTACCCTCGCAGCTCTTGAGGGGTTCTTAGGATAACGGAGTACAAACATACATACATATTATCTCAATCTGATTATGTATGTATTATATATACATGATATATGCCGACTTTGAATGAAATTTACTTAAACGTACAAATCAAACACTAACAAATCGAAATTTAGTAAATAAACATTGTACAAAAATACACATATAAACAGTTTATGATATTTTATACTGCAATCAGCCTTTCTACTATACAAATAAAGGGGCATAGATTAGATTATATGAAGCTATAGAAACGTGCAGTGTATACGTTTATAGTCTCTGACTGGTCTTGAAAGGCTATTTTAATTTTATTCTGTGATATAGGAAGGCGTCTCAGAAAAAAATTAGAAAATTCTTTCAAGACGTCATAATTATTTGGACTAGTGTATCCTGATCATGCTGATTATGTTGTTAGCGACAGGTTATATTAGAATTACAGTTTATGTCACAGTTCAATTTGTGGTTCTCATTGCAGTCTGTGTTTAAATCATTTTAATTCCATTCAAAAGCAAATTCAATGAGTGGGAAGTAAAAAAAAATATGTTTAAACATTGGCTACTTATAAAGTGAGAAACGGAATAGAAATGAAATGAAAAGAAAAATAACGAAACGAAATACAACGAAATCAAAGCGAAATAATATATTTTTAGCCCAATAGCACTTAAGGATCCAACCCTTTATTTTTATGCAAGGATGTGTATATAAAACATTATAATACAGTCTATGCAAAAGTCCATGAGATTCCAATCCTTCTTACTATACAAATCCTTGGTACATGATTTGTGTGGTGCTCTTGATAGTTATCATTGTTACAACCATGTTAAAACAGTATATTTAAGATGAAAGGAAATACCCCTATGATCTCTTAAATAATGATTGTAAATTAATTTATTGTTTATTAAAAGACTGCATACTTTTCTACAACCCCGTGTGGACATGCAGTACTTTTAACGTACAATATAAAAATTTGATGTTTCAAGAATACTTTTAAAGGGCTTTGTCTTTGATCCTGTCGGATCTCTTTATATGGGTAAGTTGTGAGCGTGAGAAAAAGTTTAAACGTCTTTGAAGTTTTCCAAAATGTATTCAGCACCAGATGTTGCACGGGCTTCGGCAGGGTATATGTAAAAGGGACATTTTTTATTCAAACATTATTTCAAATTTAGCCCAATGAGAAGGAAAAGGAAATGTAAGTACCATTATACATGTACATTTTTATTTCGACTGTGCTTGTAGTTTAAGAAACGGAACTTAAAAACATTTTGATGTTGAGTCATTTCCATTTCAGTAGCAAACTAGCTGATATCTGATATCTTAATGGAAAAAATATACAATATTTCAGTAGCCCAGGTCAATATATATATGCAAATAAAAAATTTGATTTCTTTTAGAGCATTTTAGGGGTTTGGGGGTAAATGTATATGAATGGTCTTTAATGTCCAGTGGCAAGTTAAATGAATGTTCAGGATGAGAACATTATAATGAGATATGAATGTTTTACCCTGTTTTGTGCAAGAATTTTTGTTGTTGAAAACGATTTATCATATCATATTTAACGAATGCAAATATGGGATACATATTTGTTTCTTAATTTGTTTTGAATCACCATTGATTTATGTCGTTTAAAAACATCGACAAGAATTTAGATAATACCGATCAAACAGACTTGAGTGTCTAAAAATATACTGTTTTAATGTGGTTGTAACAATGATAACTATCAAGAGCATAAACCTGAAGGGTCGGATTCTTAAGTGCTATTGGGCTAAAAATATATTATTTTGCTTTGATTTCCTTCATTTTCCATTTCTTTATGTTTCGGTATATTTCGTTTCGTTTCGTTATATTTCGTTATATTTCGTTTTGTTTCATTTCTATTCTGTTTCTCACTTCATAAGTATCCTTAAACATTAGCAGGCTAAAAACAATTTATACTCGTACATGTAGGAAAATATAAAATGTATTTGTACTCGCTATGAAACAGAAAAAATCCTCGGCGAGCCATGCTTTTCTCTGATGATGAAGCTCCTACAAATGAATTTAATATTTTCCTAATCCTACAATGAACAAATATTGTATATATGTTCAATGATATATTTTCTTGTTTATCGTTGTTTTTAAATACATATGGCAGGACAATGTTTTTGAGGATTGACTATTCATTTATTACATCTATTGCTACATATGCGTGATAAGCGTTTTCAAACCATTGAAATTCCATTACATTTATCAGTCAAGGGTATAACTCTATAGGATTATTAGAGAAAATATCATACATGTGTTATTACAGATACTTTCATGAGTTGTCTACTCTTTATTCCTTAAATTTTCTTAATCTGTAGTACCATATGTTTGTTATTTGTTAAATAAATCATAAATATTTTAATTTTTAGTGGGCACTTGGGAATTCTTGAAACTTTGCTCAGTAACTTAATACATAGCCTTGATAACTAATTTTCCAGTTAAATTAATACATTTTTATCAACAATGGTAAATCAATGAGACAAGGCTTTTAAGGGATAAACTGAGCTATAATAACAAGTATTATATGAGACACTTGAGAATTACTCATTACATGCTCTGATCATTATTTCTTACAATAAATTAAAATGCATTAAGATTAAGCATGATATATGTCTGAGCATGCAAAGGCTTTGAAGTGATGTAGAGAAGCTGTAATAACACCCTTTAGTTATTACAGGCATATTTTTTTCTGTAATAACATAGGTGTACTATGCATGATTGGCAAACTATGAACTGTTATATCTGTCTATAGTTAAGTATACGTAAAGACAATAATAATATCAATAGAACTTGTATACATTTTAACAAAACAAAGGATGTATATTGCCCCTTTGAAACATGTAACTTACATATGTCATGTATGTTATCACAGTTTTAGGATTTTTTAGTCCACAATAATAAATGTATTTTATTTTTCTCTAATAACCCTATAGAGTTATACCATTGGCTGTTTATATTTTTCAATTTACAGGTAAAATTATAGGCTAAGAACATGAAGAAATAACCATTCAAAAACCATTTAACCATTCAAAAACCATTTTTTTACCATTCAAACTCTAAAGAGGTGTGTGCTCTTCTGTATTTTTTAAGGTATGGTGTATTTATTCTTGAGATAACTTCTCTTATGTGTTACACATCATTCTTTCGATTTTAGGCCAGCATTTATTAATACACTGACCTATCTTGATAACTTGCATCGCCTCTTCTCACTAAAGACAAGGTCTTCCACTTAATATTAAACAAACCTTTTATTTGGATTTTTCTATGCATATGAAAATATTTTTTTTTAAATATTCCAATGTGTGACTTATATAAATGGGGTGTTTGACTATTTGGAGTGTCAGACAAATTGAGTATGGGGTATTGAGATTTCGGACTAATGGGGTATTGGAAATATTGGGGCAGCCCCTTGTAGGACAGTAAATATTGTATAAACGTATTTACACTTTTGGTATTTAGCTAGATTTTGCCTCCGAATGACCTTAGATCTACTCGGAATCACCTTTTGACGTCAGGCAACAATCACTTTTTAATTGTGACGTCAAATGTTTTGAATTATGATGTCAAAGTTTACGGGAACCTGTGTGATTTTACGTAATGGCGGACAAATTTGCATACAAGTGTAAATACGTCTATTGTGGCATGTAGTGGAAAACTTTGCAGAAGAGCTTTTTTACATATTAAGTATTGGTATAAGAAGTTGTTTTTATTAATCATTGTGTTAATAATAGGTTGACTGTATAGACAGCTTTAAAAGTCCCTGAGATTTATTTTACTTTGATTTATGAATAGTTGTTATAATAGTAATATTTATTTTCTGTCTTCAAACAGTACAAGATGGAACAACAGTTGAAACAGATGGTAGATTTTTTGCATGAATTTGATTGGATATATAATTTCAAACTGACAGACTTTTTTATTGACGAGGTTTGGGAAAATATTCCAGGGGAGGTAAGTCATTTTTTTAGAAATAAATAAATTGTCAAAACAGATATTATTTGGGAGGGGTAAATAGTTAATTTATGACAGAACACTTGAATAATTTGGAAGATAGCCACATGGCCAAAGGGGTTATTAAAATAATTAGTATTGAAGTGAAGACAATGTTCACACAACATTTGGCCAAAAAGACAAACTATTTGAAAAAAAAATCACTAATTTTAAAACATGCTAAATAAGAGAACAAAATTATATATCAAAAAGATTGATTGATATTTGTTTGCCTATCATCCAGTGGCAAATATTTCATGCATGTTCAGGATGATAGAGAAAGAAGAATAGCTTTTCTTATTTTGTAAGGTATTGTATGATAAATTCTTATAAGTAAAGTAAAAAAAGAAACAGCATGTTGACTCTAAAATGTGGGCACAAAGGACATATAAAAGTTTTGCACACTCTCACTATCAACATGTGGAAATGGTATGATCCACATGAGCTGTATTGGTATACTGTGGATTCATTATTATCCAAGGTTTACCAATTTTCATGGATTTCTGGGGTATAGATAAACCGTGAATTTAAATGTTCCACCAAGAATTTTTTTTCTATAGGATTGTAGGCAGAACCACAAAATGAAATATCCACGAAAATACAATTTTTCTCAATCCATGAATATATACCCTCAAAAATAAATGAATCCACAGTATCTTAGTTATACACGTCTGAGACATAAAATTGAGAATGGAAATGGGGAATGTGTCAAAGAGACAACAACCCGACCATAGAGCAGACAACAGCTGAAGGCCACCAATGGGTCTTCAATGCAGCGAGAAACTACCGCACTCGGAGGCGTCCTTCAGCTGGTCCCTAAACAAATATGTAGCATGTTTTGTCAACAGTTTACCATGGTTTCTTGATAAGGTTTTAGGATTGATGTAAGAATTTATGTACATTATTAACTCTTTTTTCAGTGGACTGAATGCTTGCTGTTGTTATCTAATGAACATCTGAACCAACTGCCTTTTGGATTTATGATGGCAAGTAACAATGAATTATAAGTTCATTAAGATCTGTGACTAATGTATCAAACTTTTTAGTAATCTAAACTTTATTTTGGGATGTATGAAGCAACATAATAAACTTCTAACAAGCAGAAAAAAAAATGAAACTTTTGTGTACTGGGTATATTGATTAGACATGATTGAATTGAAGTGTTGTTGCATATTTTGATCAATTGTTATTCCTTTAGGCAAAAATTGAAATCAAGATTGACACAAAACTTGATACTCCAAAAACCAATTTTATTTTGGTGAAAACCACAAAAATATCCCTTCACCATAAATTGATTGACAGTTGTACTTTCCATTTTGATACAGGATACATGGCCTGAGAGTTTCAGAGAGTTCCTACAGAAATCAATTTCTTTTTCATCAATCAGAATTTGTAAAAGTTTGGGGACAGCAGTGGAAATAGAACCTAATATTAGGAGGGGAATGAATCCAAAGAAACAACATGAAGTTTCTAAGATGGCAGCACTTGTACATGACCTTGTCAAGGACACAGGAAGTGATATCATTGTTGATGTAGGCTCAGGATTGGTAGGATATATACATATCATATAAAATATTAATTTGTTTGGAGTTATCATACTTACATGAAGACTGTCAGCTTGTTTATTACTCCCGAAGCTTGTCATAGTATTTTTTTTTTTACATTATTGTGCTGTATGTGTCATCTATTCAAAAAAGTTTGAGATCTCCTTTCTGAAGAAAATTTTCTACAGAGAGATTTATTCCAGAACTATTTAATTTTGTATTTTTGTCTCACTTGCACTTATTGTGATACAATGCATAAGTAAAAGACCAAGATACATTTTAACTTGTAGTATCATGATTTTTTAAAGATATTTCGAGTGAAAAACAACTGTATTTGGTATAGAATCATTGCTATTGACATATCCGTGTGTACACTCTTGTTTGATATTTTACCATACTTTATGCAATTAAGTAACTTAAACAGGGGTCAATAAAGAATGGTTTACACAAAAAATATATTTGAATTAATTTATATATTATTTAATGTAAAATTTAAAAACATGGTACATTACATTGTACATATTAACAAAAAGAACAACTTTGGTCATGCTTGTCGCTTCTATCTGGGATCACTTGTGATAATCGTTGAATAGCTTCTGTCAACTGCCATCATGATCAACAGCAATAAAACTGATGTTTTTAATGTATATATAATTAAAAACAAACAATATATGTATCTTCTCTCCCAGATTTTATAAAAAAATCATTATTGATTAGTAAATGATTACATTTTTGTTTTTATACGCCCGTTTACGGGACGTATTATGGTATACCGTTGTCCGTCTGTCCGTCCGTCCGTCCGTCTGTCCGTCCGTCTGTCCGTCGTCAACATGTCGGATATTAACTCAAGAATGCTTTAACCAATTTGCATAAAACTTTGGTGAATTGTTTATATCTATTGACGTGAGCTCCCTTTTGTTTTTTATAAATTTTAGATTTTACGTTTCCGAGTTACAGGGTTTTATCCATAAAAAAAGGGGGCATTTTTCAGTTTTCGGACAAAAACTCAAAAATGCTTTCAGCAATTCTTATGAAACTTTGGTGAATTGTTTGTATGTATTGATGTAAACTCCCTTTAGAATTTTATATATTTTACATTTTACATTTCTGAGTTATGGGGTTTTATTCATTAAGAAAAGGGGTGATTTTCCAGTTTTCGGACAATAACTCAAAAATGCTGTCACCAATTCTTATGAAACTTTGGTGAATTGTTAATATCTATTGATGTAAGCTCCCTTTTTATTTTCATAAATTTCTAATATGGCATAGAGAATTAATTGAACTTTATTTGTTTATAGTCTTGACAACAGATTTACTAAGTGTTGCACAACAGCAAGAAATCTTTAATTGAATATAAATTCAATTCATATAACCAATTTAAGTTCTTTGAATACATTTATTCAGAAACCTATAATATGTCAAATATTTAATTACAATCCAAATTCAGACCTGAATCAAGCTTGAATATTGTGTCCATTTCTGCCCCAACTGTTCAGGGTTTGGGACCTCTGCGGGCGTATCTAGCTGCGCTCAGCGAAGCAGTTTATTGTTTTAGGGCTACCTGGGACAGACATTAAATAAAACCTATGGTCACACAGTTGTTGGTATTGAAGGTAAACAATCTCACACGACTGGTGCTGATAAAAGGGTCTCTTCAGTAGGTATGTATGATTTTGTGCTTGCATTACTTGCAATAGGCAACTATCCAATACTTTCTAGTGAAAAAGTGTGTGTACTTAGTAGTATACAATAACATTAACAGTACCAATTTTTCTGCACCAGATGCACTATTGACAATACATGTCTCTTCGGTGAAACTGTAGGCAAAAATATTTGAAAATTCAGAACTTACTGAAAAAAGGAAGCACTTATAAACCTAAATGGATAAGAGAGTATAGCCAAAGCCCTGCAAGGCATCAGAGCTTTGTAATATATGCCAACTATTTTTACTATTCACCACAGAAGTACCTATGATTTCTAAGGATTATTTTGATTTGTTGTTAAATTTTTCTGCAATTTCTAAGAAAGTTTTAAGCCATCAATTCAAAATTTATTTGATTTAAAATTTATAAAATTTAGTTATATTTTAGATGGAGTTATAAATGTCACTTGTGAGTTGGATACCTCAACAGAGAGCATGGACAATTTCAAATACATCATAAAAAAACTTTCTGACCAAGGAATTATCCACTGCAACAGGAAATCACAAGCAAGGGATATAACCTCTGCTGATAACAGTGGACATTTTAAGTCAATGGACAGCTCTCTTAAATCACATGACAATCTAAGTAATGATATAGGACAACTAAAGAGTGAATATCTCGGCAAATCTTCGTCAAGTTATTTTAAAGACGATTTACCTGACAGTGTTAAACCATCTAGTGCAGACAATGATTGTGGTTGCCATGGCAATAATCATTCTGAAATTGTATGTGATTCTGTAGATGGCTGCCATTCATGCCAAAGCAACAACTCAGATGCCATTTCAATATCTAGCCATAGCATAAGTTCAAATAATGATCAGAAACCATCAATCTGTGATAGTTGTTGTCATGATAATAGCTGTATGGAAGAAATAAGCAGTTGTTATAACCATAGATTAAATAAAGGAAGTAAGGATAATCTAACAAATGATGAAAAGACATCTAATATTTGTGATAAATGCGCTCTCAGTGATGAAAACCATGATCGCACGAATGTCAAAAAGACGTGTGATACTGGTGAAAAATGTGCACTGAGTGATGAAAAACATGACCACACGAATGTCAAAAATACATCTTACGAAAATTGTGCACTGTGTGATGACAAACTGACATGTGATAACTCTCCACCCTACCAAGATTTTCCAAGAATTTTGATGATAGGTCTCCATTGTTGTGGAGATCTGACTCCGACCATGATGAAGTTCTTCAGTTCATTAGATGATATAAAAGGACTGTGTTGTGTCAGCTGTTGTTACCATAGAATGAAGTTTAATGGTATGTACCTTTAACAGTATTCTACAATTTTGATATTTTAACATGAACGTAAGTGGTAAATATTTCGTAGGTAAATGTTTAGCAGTGTATTGATATTGTTATAGTATTTATTTTTTTCAAATTCTCCCTTGAGAAGCTTAAGTTTTATTGCAAACCCAATGAAAGTTTTCCACAGTGCCATCTCTATCTTGACCAGGTATTTAAACTTTTGCAAGTTCACCTGTCCTATTGAATGAATACAATAGCTATTTTTCTCTGTGTAGTTTATTCACTGGGACCTTTAAATTTCTTCTAAGAGAAATCTATCATTCATTGATTAAATTACCTGTGTAAAAAAAAATTCTTATATATAGACAAAAATACTTTTTTTATACTCATTAATTGCCTGTGCTGGTGTATTTATTCAATACTAATAATATATTTTCATTCAGTTTAATATAAACATTGATTCAATCATAAAAAGTTGATTTCTAACAAAAGTTTTATCAATGTTCCTATTGAAATTTGATTTTTTTTTGTTTAGTTATAGAATACATTTAAGAAGATCTTAATTTGAAACATCATTATTTTCAAGTTCTTATTCATGTCAAGCAAATTTTTTTTTAAAAGGAACAATGTTGAAAGTTTTGTCAGAAATCAAATTTTTATGATTGAATCAATGTTTATATTAAACTGAATGAAAATATATTATTAATATTGAATAACTACATCATCACATGCAATTAATGAGTATAAAACAGTATTTTTGTCTATATATAAGATTTTCTTTTTACTCAGGTAAATTAATCAATGAATGATAGATTTCTCTTAGAAGAAATTTAAAGGTCCCAGAGAATAAACTACACAGAGAACAATAGCTATTGTATCTATTCAATAGGACAGGTGAACTTGCAAAAGTTTAAATACCTGGTCAAGATAGAGATGGCACTGTGGAAAACTTTCATTGGGTTCGCAATAATATTTAAGTTTCTGTCATCATGGTTACCAGATTTTCAATTCCAATTGAGACGAATGACATGAATGAAGAGAAATAGAATTTTTTTTTATTTTCAGTTTTTCATTCTTTGCTGTGAAGTGAGAAATTTTTGCGAGGTGTTTAATATGATAATTTTGCATTCTAGATAAAATCCCCTAAATTTCCTTCACATACATGTCACATATTTGATAAGAATCAGGGATAAGAAAAAATAGTGGAAAAGGGTTAGCCCTAGTAATCATGAAAATAGACCAATTTTACCTGAAATAGACTTATTTCTATGCTGTTTGGTCTCTGAATGAAAGTTGTCTCATTGGCAATCATACCACATCTTCTTATTTTTATATTTACAGTTTACATTATTCCCCCATTGGTAATAATGAACAGTAGCATCATGCAGTTTGCCTTTTTTAGAATCTTTCTGGTTAGATTTTTCAGTTTATATTGATATTTATTTGGTATGAGCAACAGTGATAACACTTTTAATGTTAGGTCATCTTTTTTTCTGACCAAGTATGTCATATATTGTTAATCTGGTCAATTTAGAAAGTGATCCTTCAATTTATATTGGGATTGACAACCAATTAATCATATTTGGAAGGAACACCACTTTTATTGCTGCTCTTCATCCTGAATTTGTCTAGGTTGTCTTCAAAGTATTTACTTCTTTCAGCAAGGTGTATATATGGCTATGAGTTTGATTGTTTTCTCTTTGTAAATGTTATTATAGAAACACAGAGAAGATTTGATAATTTCCCTTTGAGCACTACACTGAAGACAGTCTTGGAAAATAAGCAGACCTGGAGTCTTAATTCTTATGCTATGAGACTGGCAGCTCAAGAAACAAGGTATGATACATCTATTATGAGTTTATTTACAACCACTGGGGGATGCCACTCCTTGTGGAGGTTTCTTTCTCAGGGCTTTAACCAGCCAAGTAGTCAGCACTTGTGTTGACATGGATTATCATTGATATGGTCATAATTATTAATTAACTGTTTATAAAACTTGGAATTGTTTTATAGATTACCATAGCTGTAATTGGCCAAACCTTTTGGAGTTTTGGGTCCTGAATGCTCTTCAACTTCATACTTTATTTGGCCTTTTTAACCTTTTTGATTTGAGCATCACTGCTGAAACTTTTTTTTATCAAAATGCACTTCTGGTGTACAAAATGTTAATCCTAATATATACATGTATGATAAGTTTATTAACAGCTACCAATCAACAGAATCAAGACAAAAAATACACATAGAGGTCAACATAGAGCCATAAAGTACACATGAAATATGTATAAAAGTCAAGGTCATACAAAGTCTAAACAAGGTCCTCCACCAACAAAAAACTTATATAGAAAAGGTCACTAAAAGTTGCCTTCAACACTAACAAACAAATAAACAATGTGAATGGAAATATGTGATGTAACAATAAACAAAAAATTAGGAAACAAGGACAGTTTTACTATCTGAGGTTACACCTGTTTGTTGTCTATGTATGCATTGGAATTATGATGGTAAAAGTAGAATCAGGCTTACAACGTTTGCTTTTAAAGCAATTTATCTTTAGTTAGGCAGTTCAGTCTGATTATTAAAGAAGCTATTGAAAATGTGAAAGCTGTTGAAATGAAAATTATCCAGCTGAAAATAACTTTACTTTTAGAGATTCTCATTGTCATTTGTTTAGTTTCAACAACAATCATATTTATTTATTAAATTGCTTCTATAATAATCTGAGTAAAACTTATTAGAAAAGAGTCTGAGGATACCAAGGAATCATTTAAAACTTAGAAATTGAAAATAAAACTGACAACAACATGGCAAAAAAATGAAAGACAAAGAAAATACAACACAGAAAACATAGAAACAAAGAAAACTAAACATTAAGTACTAAACATAAACCCTACTAAAACGGGGGGTAATCTAAGGTGCTTCCTAAGGATAGGCAGACTCTGCTTTAATACTAATGGCACACATCATGTTGCTCATTAATAGATGTGTGAAACATTTTCTAACATATCTGAATGTTCTTTATACAACCTGACAACATTGTTGGTAAGTGCCAAAATATAAAATGGGTCAACAGGTTCGGAAACAATTATATTTTCAAATCCAGTCATTGATGATATTATTTTTTCATTGCAATGATGTCTCATTGACATATACCATGCATATCCTTTTCTTCATATCTAAATTTGAACATAACTGGCCTGGCATAACTCAAGTTTTGGATATGCTGAATGATGAAGATATTTGTTATTTTTTAGTTCCAAGCTCTTGCTATTTTTTATCATCCAATTTGTAATTTTCAAAATGGCTACTATTTCCCTGTTTTTTGTCGAGCCTGCGACTTTTGTCGCAGAAAGCTTGACATAGGGAAAATGATCCGGCGGTGGCGGCGGCTACGGCGGCGGCGTTAGCTAACTTCTTAAAAGCTTTATATTTTAGAAGGTGGAAGACCGGGATGCTTCATACTTTGTTTATAGATGCCTTATGTTACGAAGTTTCCGTCTGTTACATGTCCATTGTCCTTGACCTCATTTTCATGGTTCAGTGACTACTTGAAAAAAAAGTTGTGATTTTTTGTAATGTTAATTTCTCTCTTATTATGAGTAATAGGAGAACTATATTTGGTATGTGCATACCTATTAAGGTCCTCATGCCCGTCAGACAGTTTTCACTTGACCTCAACCTCATTTCATGGATCAGTGAACAAGGTCAAGTTTTGGTGGTCAAGTCCATATCTCAGATACTATACGCAATAGGTCTAGTATATTTGGTGTATGGAAGGATTGTAAGGTGTACATGTCCAACTGGCAGGTGTCATCTGACTTTGAACTCATTTTCATGGTTCAGTGGTTATAGTTAAGTTTTTGTGTTTTGGTCCATTTTTCTTATACTTTATGCAATAGGTCTACTATATTTGGTGTATGGAATGATTGTAAGGTATACATGTCCAACTGGCAGGTGTCATCTGACTTTGACCTCATTTTCATGGTTCAATGGTAAAAGTTATGTTTTTGAGTTTTGGTCTTTTTTCTTATACTATATGCAATAAGTCAACTATATTTGGTGTATGGAAATATTCTATGATGTACATGTCAGTCTGGCAGGTTTTATTTGACCTTGACCTCATTTTCACGGTTCATTTCTCAGTGTTAAGTTTATGTGTTTCAGTCTGTTTTTCTTAAACTATAAGCAATAGGTCAGCTATATTTGTTGTATGGAAGGATTGTAAGCTGTTCATGTCTGCCTGGCATGGTTCATCTGACCTTGACCTCATTTTCACAATTCATTGGTCAATGTTTAGTTTTCTTGGTTAAGTCTGTTTCTTAGAAACTATAAGCAATAGGTCAACTATATTTAGTGTATTGGATGATTGTAAGGTGTACATGTATTTCTCGTTTGGTTTATATGACCTTGACCTCATTTTCTTGGATCATGTTTAGTTTATGTAATAGTTGTAGTAAAGCTTTCATTAAGAACTATCAACATAATAACAATGGTTAGTAAAGAAGGCGAGACATTTCAGCGTGTGCACTCTTGTATCATTTAGGTCTAGATGGAGGAACCAGACTTCTGAAGACCATGAATACCACATAAAGAATGTAGCCTACAGAGGAATACTGGAAGTCTTTATCAAACAAGGTTAGTATATACTCCTTTAGTTGATTATTATGGAAAATCTGTGCCACATATGAATATGGATATGTTTCAATTGTAACTCCTTTCCTCTTTTCCTCGATTACGACATCACTAAATGCGACTTATGGTATAGAACCAATAATTTGGCCCGATAAGAAAGAACATACAAGAAAGTAATTCATATTCTAACTAAATAGTTCCTACACATAGCTGTAACTTTGTCAATAAGTAAAATATTTGGGTAATTTTGGTATCAAATGAAAGCTTGAGGACTTGGGATTACTGTTGAACCATTCTAAAAGTTTCTCTTGAATAAAAAAAAATATGAAATTAAGATAGGAGGGCATATTTGCCTTGTTGCTCAGATCAGAAGTACCTGTTTTTGTACTACCAACCTTCTGGGAACCAGTGAACTCTAGTATACAATTAAAGGTATGTTGATTTTTTCAGCACAAGTCAGGATAAGGTATAGTTTTAACATGAAATGACTTTCACTTTATTCGAACTTAAGACATAATAGCTATGAATGGTTGAAGTTGGGGAATTTAACATAGAAAGCAATGGGCTATGCATTAGTGGTGTTATTCCTTATCATTTGTTAGTTGCTATGAGCAATACGACCAGTGCCACTGGTGCAGCAGGATCTCCGTATCCATCCAGACCACACAAGATCACAACTGGGTTAATGTTGCTGTGTAGTGGTTCGTAGAATGTGTTTTGTCTTTTTGGTTTTTTTTTTTGGTCCTGGTGTTGTTTGGTTTTTGTCGAGCCTGCGACTTTTGTCGCAGAAAGCTCGACATAGGGATAGCGATCCGGCGGCGGCGGCGGCGGCTACGGCGGCGGCGGCGGCGGCGGCGTTAGCTAACTTCTTAAAAGCTTTATATTTTAGAAGATGGAAGACCTGGATGCTTCATACTTTGTATATGGATGACTCATGTTACGAAGTTTCCGTCAGTCACATGTCCAATGTCCTTGACCTCATTTTCATGGTTCAGTGACTACTTGAAAAAAAAGTTCAGATTTTTTGTAATGTTAAATTCTCTCTTATTATAAGTAATAGGATAACTATATTTGGTATGTGCGTACCTTGTAAGGTCCTCATGCCCGTCAGACAGTTTTCACTTGACCTCGACCTCATTTCATGGATCAGTGAACAAGGTTAAGTTTTGGTGGTCAAGTCCATATCTCAGATACTATAAGCAATAGGTCTAGTATATTCGGTGTATGGAATTACGAAGGACTGTAAGGTGTACATGTCCAACTGGCAGGTGTCATCTGACCTTGACCTCATTTTCATGGTTCAGTGGTTATAGTTAAGTTTTTGTGTTTTGGTCTGTTTTTCTTATACTGTATGCAATAGGTCTACTATATTTGGTGTATGGAATGATTGTAAGGTGTACATGTCTAGCTGGCAGGTGTCATCTGACCTTGACCTCATTTTCATGGTTCAGTGGTCAAAGTTAAGTTTTTGAGTTTTGGTCTGTCTTTCTAATACTGCATGCAATAGGTCAGCTATATTTGGTGTATGGAATGATTGTAAGGTGTACATGTCTAGCTGGCAGGTGTCATCTTACCTTGACCTCATTTTCATGGTTCAGTGGTCAAAGTTAAGTTTTTGAGTTTTGGTCTTTTTTTCTAATACTATATGCAATAGTTCAACTATATTTGGTGTATGGAAATATTTTATGATCTATATGTCAGTTACGCAGGTTTTATTTGACCTTGACCTCATTTTCAAGGTTCATTGCTCAGTGTTAATTTTTTGTGTTTTCGTCTGTTTTTCTTAAACTATAAGCAATAGGTCAACTATATTTGTTGTATGGAAGAATTGTTAGCTGTACATGCCTGCCTAGCATGGTTCATCTGACCTTGACCTCATTTTCATGGTTCATTGGTCAATGTTTAGTTTACTTGGTTAATGTTAAGTTTATGTGACAGTTGTAATAAAGCTTTATATTTAGGACTATCAACATAATATCAATGATTAGTAAAGAAGGCGAGACATTTCAGCGTGTGCACTCTTGTTGATTGTCCTCGTCTTATCTTTGTTCTTTTCTATTAACAACATGATTTATGTCAAAATAAAAATAAAAACCAGTTAATTCCCATTTTTGAAGGTATTTATATCAAGAAAAGTATATTTTCTACTAGGTCTATTTATATTATATAATTTTATAAGAGTTTGAGCAGCAATTACAAATACCTTAAAAACAAGACTGTACTGGAACTTTCAAAAATGAAGAACAGAAATAAAAGTGCTGATCACTTGTTTCAGGCTTTGTAAAGATCAGGAACTAACACACATGACACAGCATATCTCTAGTTTTACAAATGTAGTAAATTTGGCACTTTGTCTATTGAATGTCATAATTTTATCAAATAAATTAATGATTTGAACAGGTATCTCATTTTTTATTGCCAGGCCATATTTTTATATATTTAATCTATGCCACTAAAATTGGTTATTTATACAACAACATATTTTGCCCAAAGTCATGAAGATGTCTTATACAAAGACTCTGATATTGAACAAAAACTTTTTAGTTAAGGTGCTGCTCAGTTGTTAAATTTACTGAGAGCTGTTAAATTTGTTCAAATAAGTCTCCAACTTTTTAAAATTTGGTCACTTTTTTTCCCCAGTAAGCAAAGTAAGTACAAAAAGAAAATCCCATGAAATTTGAAGAAAAAAAATTGTTGTTCATCATGTTCATTTAAATGATTGAAATTCATGAAGAAATTAATTTATATATATTTTCTCAGAATCATATTTATCAGAATCATGTGACCATAGTTTAAAATTTTTCCAAATCATGTGATCATAATTATATAAATTTCAGAATCATATGACCATAGTTAGTATTTTTCAGTGTCATGTGACCATAGTGTAATATTTTTCAGAATCATGTGACCATAGTTTAATATTTTTCAGAATCATGTGACCATAGTAAACTATTTCGTAAACTGACCAGAAGAGGAGATATGGCAACGTTTACCACCTTTGTAGAGGCCATTGTTAAAAGAACTAAATTGAATGGTGCAGAAGGTAAAGATAATGCATTTTGTAATGGTTGGGTGGCTGTCCTATTGAACTTTCCTCTTCATCTCTTTATTCACATTGAATCATCATTTTTTGGTTGAGGTCTTCAGTTGAGTTGAGTAAGGGCTGTTCCATTAATATGGATGTGGGAGGATAGAAAGGGACGTTTAATTTTTTGACATAGTTCAGGGGTCATTTATTATTGTATGTCAAGTTGATATATGCAAAATTACACCTAAACAATTTTGCAATATGCTGGTGAGGGTTGGATTTCTGCCTGTGCTACCCTACCACATCCACTTAATGGAATAGTTCAGATGTACTAAAATGAAAAGTATTGAAACAACCATCTATATCGGAGTAAACTTTTTCACTATCCAACCTATAATTGCTTAAATCGACTGCATGTGGACTCTGTTGTATAGTTGTCTCATTAGCAATCAAACCACATCTTCATATTTTATATATATATATATATTACATATTATTTAAAAAAGATAGAGATCATGCATTTTTTGTTCAATAGATTATTATGTACAAAAAACAAAAAAAATACAAAAATTCAATAAAAATAGAAACACCATGGCCAAAGAAAATTAAAACAAAAAGACAAAATAGAACACAGAAAACTTATGATTGAGCAATGTGACCCTTACAAAATGCAGTGCACCCAAGGGATAGGCTCTATTAGAAAATATAATAACAAAAAACTCCAATGTTTGCTTTTCAGGTGAAATTGATGAAGAAATAATGACAGGAAAACTGAACAAGATATACTCTCAGTATACAAAGTATTTCATGTATATAGAACCTTTTACGGTGAGTTTTGCAAAAAAAAATTTATATTAGTTCAGTGGTGGTAGCAGTATAATCCCAAAAAATTATAGCATAGTTGTAAACTCATATCGCAATTTTCATTTTATTGAAAGCTAAAGGTTATTGTATCTCTACCTTTCAGTTTTCTTCTCCGCCATTTTGAATTCTGTCTACACCTATTTTATTGTGCAATTGGAACATGTTCAAAATTTTCACTTGTTTAAGGGAACTAGCTGTCGTTTAATTTCATGCATTCCAATTGTCTGGAACTTGCCAGTCAATCGCCACCATTGTCTCTTGACTTTAATTTGATTCCCAAACTTATGCAGTCAGGTTTAGAATGATTTTTATTGTCCTGCCTGCGATGAAAGTATTACAATCTGGCTGCAATGGCAGTGTAAACTATTCGTTAAAAGCTTTATATTTCAGACATTGTCAGAAGGTAGAAGACCTGGATGCTTCATATCTTGTGTGTAGATACCTTATGTTATGAAGATTCCGTCTGTCATATGTCCATTGTCCTTGACTTTACATTCATGGTTCATCAGTGACTGCTTGAAAAAAAAGTTACACTTTTTTGCTAAGTGAAATACTCACTTATTATGAGTAATAGAAAAACTATATTTGGTATATGTGTTCCTTGCAGTGTCTACATGTCCGTCAGGTAGGATTCACCTGACCTGGACCTCATTCCATGGGTCAGCGATCAAGTTTATAAAGTTGCATGGTCAAGTCGGTATCTTAGATACTATAGGCAATAGGTCAATTATATTTGGTGTTTTGAATGATGGTAAGGTGTACATGTCAGACTGGAAGGTTTCATCAACCTTGACCTCAATTTCATGGTTTATTTTTTGTAGTTTGGTCTATTTCTCAGATACAATAACGAAAAGGTCATATATATTTGGTGTATGGAATAATTAAAAGGTGTACCTGTTCACTGGCCGTTCATATGACCTTGACCCATACCTGCCAAACCCTCCCGTTTTGAGCGTGAGTCTACCGCGCAAACGACGAAATTCTGGAAATCTCCCGTTTACAAATCCTCTCCCGCATGGGAGTATAGAATCTTCTGCATTAACCTGGAATGACCCGCCTTCGTATTTCTCAGGATTTTTCTTTACTGTCTATAGAAATAAACAAAGAAACAGCGATAATTTGAAAAATAATGTCAGTAGTTTTTATGTTTGATTTATAAGTAATCAAAAATCATTTCTGCTAAGTCATCTCCAACAAGATAGAGGTCTTTGTCTGTTCCAAGCGGCCGTGTAAAAAAGAAGAAATATAACTGCAAATTTCAAGCAGATTGGATGAAAGATTTTCAATGTTTACCACCAATTTCACTCGGCAATGAATCTTCATTTTGCACATTATGTTCAATCAACTTTATGGTTGCGTCTGGTGGTCTGGAAGATGTTTAAAAGCATGCTTAGTGTGAGACTCACAACAAAATCAAAATATGATATGTTATGAGTATTGTCCTGACTAAGAGGTATTGAAAAAGGCAAAAATATACCTTGTATAGATTATTACAATGAATTGAAGAAATAAAGTTATGTAATGTAGTCTAGACATGCATGCAGATTCATAGTATTCTACTAAAATAAATTTGCAAAGCAAAATATTTAAAAAGTGAGATTTTTGTAAAGCAAAAAATATTACAACAAGTTTAATGAAACTTGAGTATCTGGTTTATTTTAGATTTTTATTATTTATCTCTTTTTCAGGCACTACAAGTCCTTATGCAACCAGTGTTAGAAACTTTAATTTATCTAGACAGACAAACCTGGCTAGAAGAACACACATATAGAACGTCTGTTGTATCAGTATTTGATGACAATATATCACCTAGAAATCAGGCACTCGTAGCTGTGAAAAATAATAAATGTATAAAATGATATTGCTTTATTTTCTTTCAATGGATATTTGTCAGTACCTGAAGGTAATATTTTGATTTGTAACCAGTGCTTTTTTTACTGGCATGGCTCTTTCAACACACTTTGGCAGTAATTTTTCAGTCAGTTAATAAACCTACTGAATTAGACTTATCACTAGGTTTGTACTAACATGAACAACACGACTGGTGCCACATGTGGAGCAGGATCTGCTTACCCTTCCAGAGCACCTGAGGTCACACCCAGTTTTCCTACGTTTTGTTTTGTGTACTGTTGTTTGTCTGTCTTTTTTCTTTTTTGGCTATGACTTTTTGTCGGTTTATTTTCAACTTATGAGTTTGAATGTCCCTTTGGTATCCTTCACCTCTCTTTCAGTAAATTAGGCAATGATACTATAATGTTGCAATTATCACAACTTATATTGTGTGAATTTGGTATTTCTGTTTATATAGAAATAATAAAATGTGGTATGATTGTCAATGAGACAACTCTCCACCAGTGACCAAATCACAAAGTACGCAACCATAGTTCAAGGTACAGTTTTCAACAATGAGTTAAACTCATTCCACATAGTAAGCTATAAAAGGCACAGAAATGACAAATGTATAACAATTCAAATGAGAAAACCATGCAAATTCCTGATTTATGTACAAAATAATAACTTAAAAACAAATATGATAATGCCCAGTTTCCCCTGCTTCAGAACTGCTTTTTTTTAAAAAGATGCATACTTTCAGGTAATTACTGTAAATTCAAAATGTTTGCCATGTTATTATTGCTAAAATTGCCATTGAAAAAGGTTTAGCAAAATTTAAAACTGTCATTTTAAATCTTGAAAGAATTATTTGTATGCAGCATTTCTTGAAATAGCAATAATTTATATCCCATATTTAGCTCACCTTTCCTAAAAGGAAATATGAGCTTTTTCCATCAGTTGGCGTCCGTCGTTGTTCGTCGTCATCCGTGAGGTGTAAACAATTTCAAACATCTTCTCTGAAACTACTGAACCAATTGCAGCCAAACTTATGCTGAATGATCCTTAGGGTATCTAGTATAATGTTTGTGTTTTATTAACAGTTTCGTAAACATGGCCGCCATAGCTAAAAATAGAACATAGGGTAAAATGCAGTTTTTGGCTTATATTTTAAAAAACTATAGCATTTAGAGCAAATCTGACTGGGCTAAAAGCGTTCATTAGGTCAAGATCTACCTGCAGTAAAATTTTCAGACAAGTCAGACAACTGTTTTTTGGGTTATTGCCCCTGAATTGATAATTTTACGGAAATTTTGCAGTTTTTAGTTATTATCTTGAATATAATTATAGATAAAGATAAACTGTAATCAGCAAAAATGTTCAGCAAAGTAAGATCTTCAAATAAGTCAAACTGACTAAAATTGTTTATTGGCCCCTGAAGGAGTTATTGGCCTTTATAGACAATTTTACACAATTTGTTCATCAAGTTTGTTAACTTTAAAAAATCTTCTCTGAAACTGCTGAACCAATTTCAACCAAACTTAAATAGAATGATCCTTATGGTATCTAGTATAAAGTTTGTGTTTTATTAAGAGTTTCGTAAAAAAACATGGCTGCCGTGGCTGGAAATAGAACATAGGGGTTAAATGCAGTTTTTGGCTTATATCTCAAAAACTAAAGCATTAAGAGCAAATCTGACGGTGTTAAAGTGTTCATTAGGTCAAGATCTACCTGTCACGAAAGTATCAGACAAGTCGGACAACTTATTTTTGGGTTATTGCCCCTGAATTGATAATCATTGGGAAATTTTGCTGTTTTTAGCTCACCATTCCTAAAAGGAAATGTGAGCTTTTGCCATTACTTGGCGTCTGTCGTCGTCCGTCGTCCGTCCGGTGTAAACTATTTCAAAGATCTTCTCTGATGAAACTACTGATCCAATTTCAACCAAACTTAAGCTAAATGATCCTTAGGGTATCTAGTTTAAAGTGTGTTTTATTAGGGGTAAAATGCAATTTTTGGCTTATATCTCAAAAACTAAAGCATTTAGAACAAATCTGGCATGGGGGTAAAAGTGTTCATTAGGTCAAGAACTACCTGCCCTGAAATTTTCAGACGAATCAGACAACCGATTTTTGGGTAATTGCCCTTAAATTGATCATTTTAATGAAATTTTGCAGTTTTTGGTTATCTTGAATATCATCATAGATAAAGATAAACTGTAAACAGTAAAAATTTTCAGCAAAGTAAGATCTACAAATAAGTCAAAACATCCAAAATTGTCAACTGACCAATTAAGGAGTTGTTGCCCTTTAAAGGCAATTTTACACAATTTGTACAACTGGGAATGTGTCAAAGAGACAACAACCTGAAATAAAACAGAAAATAGCTGAAGGCCACCAATGGGCCTTCAACACAATCCATAATCCAACACGCCGAAGCAGGCTTGATCAGCGCCTTATTCATTAATGTATACTAGTACAAAAAAATGGACGTCACTACACTTCAAAACAGATATGAACCAAGATAAAAAAAAAACATACAAGACTAATAAAAGCTACCAAGATGATCCTGAATTAGGACATGCACAAAAATTCACCAAGTTATACATGTTTTGTGAGATATAAACCTATCACCAATAAATTTTGTACCTCTAGCTAATGTGGAATAAATATACATTCAGGAAGTCTATTTAAAAAAAAAAATGTTTGTTCTTATGTTGTGCTGTAACACCACAGTCCCATGTTAAAGACAGGGTTTGGATACAGTACATAAATTTTATCCCTCCTTGCACAACTCAAAATCCAATAATTTTAGTGGTTGTCATTTGTTGCTGTGTTTCATATTTGCTTTTCGTTTATTGTTTTTAGCTCACCTTTCCTAATTGCCATGCAATACTCTCAGAATGCTGGATACTATTCACACTGGTTTGTGTCCACACTTATTAATTATACATTAAAAAGTTAAAAGCAAAAGAAAAACTTTGATGAAAAATTTAAATAAAAAACTACAGGTGAGCGATTCAGGCTCTTGAGAGCCTCTTGTTATCAATTCTTCAGCAATTATAGGAATAAATACATGCACAAAATTCTGAATTTACAGTATCTGGGTTTGAAATTGTAGGATAAGGTTGAAACTCTCTCAAGATAAATATACCTTGTACAATGTTAATCAGTTTAAGCCCTGTAATGGGTTGATGCTCTAATTTAAACCTTGTTAGAGTATACCTGATTTGGTTCGTCAACAACATGTGTAATGCACACTGAAATCAGTATTGGACATGCCTGTTACTATTTCTGGTTTGTTCTTGTTACTGGTCAGGGATCAGACTTGCGGTATTTTTTTTTTATTCTAAGGCTTTCTCACAGCATGGAAGACAAACTACGTCAATGTATTGGAAAAATTACAAGAATTAAAACTTTTCTCCTAGATGCCTTTGTATCAGCATTTTCTCTTTTAAAAGAATTCACATTATTTTGTGTTGTAATTTCAAACTCTTAATAATATTGTGGTTTAACAGGCCTGTTTGAATATATGGTATTTATTCTTCTTGTCGAGGACTACTTTTATTTTGAATCGGGTAATACACTTTCTAAGAGAAATATACGTACGGTAATATATGCAATGACAATAAACGAATCGATTCAGATAATTGATGAGAGTTTTACAATTGTATGAAATTATGTTTTGAAAAGATTCATTTTTTTCTGTTTATTAATGAATTTTGATATAGAATCGTTCACTGACAATCCCACGTGATAAAAATCCCCATAGAATAGCTTTTGTTTAATTATTCATATGCTTATTTTATGACATCTTTCATCTGCCTGAATACAGTTTGTAAAATTTTATTTGCGTGAACCCCCTGAGGGGTTCACGCTTATATATTGACGAGTTTTGGAAGTGTCTATGGGCCACTCGATATCCTCGGAATCACGATTCTCGAAACGTCTCGAAAATTTTCCATCATTTATATAGGTAGTTATTTATGTCTTTGATACGGTCCCTCTATGGATAGGCAACAACGTGACATTGTATATTTCAACAATCCGACAAACGGTTCATTTGTAGATTTGAAAGTAAAACTATAAAGACTAGGTTACATTCTAAAAATCATTTATATGTTAGAACCTATTTGCCTTTTGACAAAACATATATGTTTTTGATAATGTGAATGTTTATTAAATATCAAGTATAATGATAACGCAATTATATAATTCATGCTTTGAGACGGTCTTTCTACGCGTTGTGTGTGTTGTATTTAATAAACCTGGGAATAGTTTATTGATATACAATGACCCAGAATAAACTGATTATTTCTGAACGTTTATCATTTGATATTTAGTATTTCAATCATAGCATGAGAAAATGTCGGAAAGAATGAAGAAAATTAAGAAAACGATATTTCTGTTAAACATATTTATCTAAGGTCGGAAACACAGTGGTCGGAAAGCAGAAAGATAATCAAACAAAAGGATTTTTCTGTAAACAAATATCTAATTTCATTCATAGATACTACCAGACTAAGAGAATATTCATTGTAAAGGTAAAACTGAGACTGAATTTATTCCTAATAATTTTAGAATATAATTAAAATTGTAATGTATACGTGCATTATGTCTCACAGGTTTGATCAGTCATTACATTTATGAAAATTATATGTAACGTATGAGCACCAATGAGCAGGGATGCGTACCCAAAGTTAGCTAAATATCTAAATTTTAAACGGTCGTGAATGAAAAAATACTTGCGTGGTTTCAATTCACAAGGATTTTAAATCCTTGCATCTCACAAAAAACGTAATTAATATTTTACAATAATCATAAAAAAATTTAATTTCTATCATAATGTTAATTTTTTTTCTTTTATAAGTTCAACCTTATAGCATCTAAATATTTGTTCTATGGTACGGTTTTGAAAATTGTATTAATTGTGTTGGTCAGCTATCCTACACGTCTTGATTCATTTACATTATACATCACCCTGTTCACACGCACACTATCGGTTTGCGTTCACAAAATTTCCGGATAAA